TGGTACGCGCTGTCATTCTTAGAATTTTCTGGAAACCATAAAATATTCTGATCACAGAATGACTTTCTAAGAGGAATGCTTTACTCAGAAAAAGTAGGGGTTTTTTTAGATCATGGGAGATCCATATTCTGTGGTAGAAAAGTTGGCCGCACTGTATCAAAGTATTTGGATTTATAATTAGAAGGCAGAGGATATCTATCAATCCTTTCACGGCAAAAAAGACACCTCAGTGATTTAAGCATCTGACTGTGGAGCTAGAAATTGGGAGTTCAATTCCCCACTGTGCCTCCTTAACAGGGGCTGGACTCGATAATCCATAGGGTCCCTTAATTAATTATTGCTATTATTATTAAAAAGATGAATCTAGGAACTACAAACTAGTCAGACTGACACATAAATCCTGTGGGAAATTCAGGAGCAGATTATAAAGTGATCAGTCTGTAAACACCTTAAAGCAATGCAGTAACAACTAGAAGCCGACATGGATTTGTCAAGAATAAATTCTGCCTTCCAAGAGTTCTATGAAAAGCAGGTTAGAAATGAACAGGATAGGAGCACTAATTCTAACCAAAAATTGCCCTAACTAACGATTGTGAATCAGAATATTTTCAACCTCAGTTGAACAAAGAAAGATATACCTTTGCAAAAGGGCAACTTGGAGGTAAATATTGGGCTCCTAATATTCACCCAACTAAAATAATGACAACATATGATCGGGAAACTTGTAATTTTGGAGAAAATGACATACTTTACTGTGAGATACATGAATGTGATGTTTCTTTATTATTAAAAGAATCTTTACTCCTTTAAAAAAATGGTCCTGCAATTTGCATTCAAACATGACTTAAATTCTGTCTACAGCTTAAGTCTTGACATCAGCATCTTCATATGGAAAGGATTTTGTTTAAATGGCGGTGTCTACACTTTTCTACATTACTGAAAGACGTATTTTAGAACTGTGAACTGATTTTATGCATATGAAGCATAAAACCAGTGTAGGTAAATAAAGCTTGTAGAAATGGATAAGCTGATGTTGCCTGGAATCATTGCAACAAGGAAGAAACATTATCTTGATTAGACGTACTGTATCAGATAATATGATTGTGATTCTTTGATTTCATTCTGGGATTAACTCTTTATGGGGTTAGATGCCAGCTGGGACAAACATAGGCTTCTGATGTTTTCCCAGAGAGTCTACATATCTGGGTTTCGGTCCTCCTTGCAGAGCTGGTGCTGACCCAGGAAGGGAGGAAGTGCCTCTAGACGTGCTGATCCCAGTAAGGAGTAGACTCAGGCTTCCAGACTCAGTGCTTAACTGGGCTTGCTTTGAACCTATGGGGCTGGGGAAACTCAACAGGTGTGTATGTGTATATGCACGTGGGTGAACCTCTTCACACATCTTAAAATCAATATATCAGTGATGATGAAACAAACTAAGACACGAACATATAGATCACTGCTATTTTATTATTATTTTTTAAACTTTAGTAGAAATTTAAAAATGACCCCCCCAAAAAAGGCATTCTTGGATGACATATTCAACATTAAAGTACCTTGCACCTTTTTAAATTTACAGATACATTGTTGTAGCAGAAGGACAAACTGGTTATATCATCCTATAAGAGATGAGGGATTTATTGGTCCACAAAAGCAAGCACAGAATTCAAATACTTCTGTTGTGTTTTAACAATGAAGGGAAGAGAACCGAAGTTTTTCTAGGTCTCTAAATTGAACAGATACGGGAAAGCATATTGGGGTTTTCTTTTGTGACATATTGCAAGGGAGAGATGCAGAAATGCACATTAGCATTTTTTTTCTGACAGAAAAAAAAATCGAGTCCCCAGTGTTTGTCTTCTCTAACCTATGTAGACTAGGTTATAAAAGACGCGAGCTTAGAAAAGAGATATTTCGGTTACAACTCCTGTTCTCTGTGTTTTTTGGGAGATTCTGAGACTTGTAGTCAAAAAATTATATTTTCCAGGTTAACACCTGTCTTAAGGACTTTGAATGAAGTAAAAAGTTTTGCTTGTGAGCATGTCATCTCATGGAGCATGACTGTCAGCCCAGGCTAAATCTTAGCAAAAACAATACTGTTTTCACTGTCACATGCAAATAAATTTGAGATCTGCTTCTATTTTTTCCCATATTAAAATGAACATTAAATGTATTACAATTTAGAACGATATCTAAAATGCGGAAACCAATGTTGCCTTTTAAATCAATAAAATGTTTTTAACATTTTAGAATTTCCAGAGCCTGGGAAAGTTTCAAGATGCTTGCCAGAATTGCCATTTTGCATGCGAAAGGATGCGTCAAAAAATTTTACACATCTCCAAGACTTGAGCATGTTTTAGACACGGGAAGTACATGTTAAAATTTGAACACTTAAAAATGCGAACACTTGAAAAATATGCATAAATCTACTTCAGTCAATGGGTAAAACATGTACTATATTTATACATTCGAAAAAATATTCAAATAGACACACACATTATAGAAAATGGGTTCAAGTCTCCATGTATGAAGGAAAAACTGAAGTCCCACAAGCTGCTGTTTCCAACTTGGAGATAGTGGATGAAGACAAATACATTTATAACCATAACTGTTATGTGCATTCTCAACTCAAGTTTGGCCATCTAAAAAAAAGTCCACCTTACTTGATTTGCAAGTTATGACCCTGCCCCATATTACAGAGTTCCACTGGCGTGACATGGAGAAGGATATGAACATGGCAAGCTGCCTTAGATCAGACGAAGCCTTACTGTACCATTCAGACATCATTTTCTGTCTCAAGCCATCTTCATTCAGAAAGCCGTGATGGGGCAGATTGTCTCTCGGAGATGAAGACATTCTGCGGCCTGAAACAGTTTGCTTCCTCTTTACACAGTGTTTTGCTGAACTGGTGTTATTTTTGTCCATGATTATCAATCTTTTACAGCAATGCACAGATGATGACAGGTGTCCCACTTGCACTTTCCAGGAAGTGTAGCAGTTTGGTACCATGACAAAAGCTGTTTGGGCTTGCATGTTTCTTGTGCATCATTTCCCCCGCCCCCAATCTTTATACTCATCATTGTAACGGGAACTGTAAAATCACTGCATGTTACAGAGCATGATGCACCCAAGAAGGGAAATGTAGATGATTCTTGAGGGAGAAATCCAACAGCGTGACGTCTCTGCTCCTTATCAGAAGCTACTATCACAATGCCTCAGATGGCTTTCCTTAGAATTAAAAGGACCAAAATGAAATTCTCTGGGAAACATGTATGAGATGCGCTCCCACCTTGACAGTATACGTGACCTTTTCTTCTAGTCCAGTAGAAAACAGTCAGAAATGTCAGACTCCTCCGTGACTTCTTGCTAGTGACATTTGTCACAAATGGATTAAGCAAGGTGGCATTCTAGGAAAAACAGGCTCAAAGGAGCCAGAATGTGTATGTCCATACACCAGGCCAGGATACTTTTCCATCTGAAGAATGAATACAAAGAACTTGCCCTGCTTCCCCATCAGTCCAGTAAAGGATGGACAAAGCTGGAGGGGAAAACACCTGTTCTTGTGCCATCACCTTCAATGAAGCCAATCTGGAATAACAAACGAAGAGGTCAGCAAAGCCAAAGCAGAGGAAATGGGAGATTAAGGTGGGGAGCATGTGGCCTTCCAAGATGATGCCGGGCTACAGTTGCCATCAACTCCAACTGAGATAACCAGGGTCACGGGAATTGTAAAATCACTGCATGTTACAAAGTATGATGCACCCAAGAACAGAAGGGAAATTTAGATGATTCTTGAGGGCGAAATCCAACGGCGTGACGTCTCTGCTCCTTATCAGAAGCTACTATCACAATGCCTCAGATGGCTTTCCTTAGAATTAAAAGGACCAAAATGAAATTCTCTGGGAAACATGTATGAGATGCGCTCCCACCTTGACAGTATACGTGACCCTTTCTTCTAGTCCAGTAGAAAACAGTCAGAAATGTCAGACTCCTCCGTGACGTCTTGCTAGTGACATTTGTCACAAATGGATTAAGCAAGGTGGCATTCTAAGAAAAACAGGCTCAAAGGAGCCAGAATGTGTATGTCCATACACCAGGCCAGGATACTTTTCCATCTGAAGAATGAATACAAAGAACTTGCCCTGCTTCCCCCTCAGTCCAGTAAAGGATGAACAAAGCTGGAGGGGAAAACACCTGTTCTTGTGCCATCACCTTCAATGAAGCCAATCTGGAATAACAAACGAAGAGGTCAGCAAAGCCAAAGCAGAGGAAATGGGAGATTAAGGTGGGGAGCATGTGGCCTTCCAAGATGATGCCGGGCTACAGTTGCCATCAACTCCAACTGAGATAACCAGGGTCCTGCAAGGCCACATTGCTCTCCTCCCTGCAGTAGGCAAAGCACACAGGAGTGGGGAAAACTGACTAAGATAACCTGAAACAAACAATTCTTTTCCCAATCCCAGTTTCTTCCCGTGAGAAAAGGCTTAGAGATGGAACCGGACAGTCTGACTAGCCACTGCTAGAAGGCTTCCTTGAGATCCAAAGTAGAATTGGAACCATTTCCAAGGATGTTGGGAAGGTTTTTAAGAAGACGAGCCCGTCCGTCCGTCCGTCCGTCCTCCCTCCCTTTCAAAAGTTCTTCCCCCTCCCAAGAATACTCACCCAACTCTGTTCGTCCTCTTCCCGTGTCACGACAATCACCTCACCCTTGGAGAAAGTCAGATCTCGGGCTTTGCCCCCCCGGCAGTCGGCTAAGGCCATCACTCGCTTTGGTCGTCCTTTGGCCTACAAAGGTCCAAAGAGTCACCAGCTATTTTAAAATAAGTCTTTTCCTCTTTTCGGTCCCCTCACTTAAGTAGTCGAAAACAGCTCATCTGGCCATGGGGAAACTTAAAAATGATATACAGTCTGTGGCTTTAACCTTTACTTTTCTACTTGAAGGTCTGGGTTTGGATGTAAATCACAGAAAGGAGAGATTCAGCCTTTGACTCTAGCCATCCCCCCCAACCCTAAATTGACCTGGATTATGTAACTAGATAGGACTGCATGAGAAATCTATTATTTGTAGATACTGGAGCTATCAACACCTGTGTTTTTCATTTCAGCTCTTCCATACTGTTAGTGAATAGAGAGAAGCGTGGTGAGATACCATTATGCTGTATCATTGACTTGGGGTGGAATTTTAGATTAAAAGGATGGTACATCAATGTGTCAATGTTTTAAGTATGTGGACTGGGTTGCTTTACAATTAGTTTTATTTCCTCACTTCTGAGGTACAATGTTAACCATAATGTTTTGCTGAGAATGGTTGTTGTGGGTTTTTCGGGCTCTTTGGCTGTGTTTTGAAGGTTGTTCTTCCTAGCATTTCGCTGGTCTCTGTGGCCAGCATCTTCAGAGGACAGCACTCTGTGCTCTGGTGAGCTTTTGCTGAGAACTTCAGGTTTTTTTAAAAAAAGATCCCAATATTTTTGAAATGCAGAAACACAGAGAGGTCAACATCAGGAAAAGAAAATTTGTTTTTCAGAGAAAATGTTTGAAAAACAAGCAGTCAACCACAACAACGCACTTTGGACTCACCAGCTTCTCCCAAGCAGAAGGAAACTATGCCCACTCACAAAGGAGGGGAAGCGATCTTTCCAACCTCTCTCTTAAAGAAACAAGTCCTGCACGCTACAAAGCGTTATTCTCAAATCTCAGCCCCATTCTCCCATGCAGTTGCTATGCTTCTCAGCATTTCAGGATCACATCCTGGGTTCATGTATATTCTACCAAAATTATGTCCTACCGAAAGGGTGGCGTAAGAAAATTTTTCACCCCATAACAGCCACTCTACACTGTTTAAGCTGGATAAACGGGGATTTCCAACTTTTAGAAAACGGCAGTCTGAGAAGGGGAAACAACAAAACCACTACATAAAAATCATAATGAAAAGGTTGTGCCAAAAGAAACGAAACGAAAAAGTTCAGTCTCCACCATTATTTATTTATTTAAACTCTTTTACCCCACCTTTCTCCTTAAAAGGACCCAACAGTTTATGTGAGGCGATAACATGGAAACCTCTCAGCAGCCTTAAGGGGATTTGCTAGCACTTGGGTAAAAGCAGCTGCTAATTCATGTGGCTGTTTGCTAATATATATATATAAGGCAACTTATCTCCCCCATCTCACCGGAGCAAACCTTCTCCATTGGACTATTTCAGTGATGTGGAGAGGGGGAATTTGCTACTTGGGTAACAGCCTATCCTCCATATTATTTTACCCAGGCTTCGTGCTCTGGAGAGGACACTCCAGCTTCGCATACAGCATCAAAGTCCTCCATACAGAGCACGTTACCATAGTCTCTCGAGACTTAAGGATGCCTATAAGAGTTTTATTTTATTAAAATAAAACAATTAAAACACAATAAAAAGATAAAACAATTAAAATATATACTCTAAAAATTTCCATCAGGACCCACACTTGATATTATTTCAATTAAAAGCCTTCTGGAAGAAGAAGGTTTTGACCTGGCGCAGAAATGTCATCAGCGTTGGCGCCAGACGACTCTCAGTTGGGAGGGCATTCCATAGTCTGGGGGCAGCTGCCGAGAAGGCCCTTTGTCTACAAGCCATCCCTCTTACCTCCTTGAGGAACGGCTCTTTCAAAAGGGCCCCCTGGCTAGATTTTAACTGCCGGGTAGGCTCATAGGGAGCCTACCCTTTCTCCTTAAAAGGACCCAACAGTTTATGTGAGGCGATAACATGGAAACCTCTCAGCAGCCTTAAGGGGATTTGCTAGCACTTGGGTAAAAGCAGCTGCTAATTCATGTGGCTGTTTGCTAATATATATATATAAGGCAACTTATCTCCCCCATCTCACCGGAGCAAACCTTCTTGGCATAGGAACAGGGGGTGGGTTTTGCATCTGTGTGGGCGCCTTGCAGGAGGGCTGCTCTTCTGGCCAGCCAGAGCTCTGTGGGGAAAGTGGACAGCTGGAAGATTTCCCCATGGAGCCGCTACTGATCCGTCGGTAGGATCGGGTACTCTCGGAACTGCAGGGCGAGAGAATGTCGTTCATTAACCATCACAACGGCTGTCAGTTTTTCTCTTAGTAAAACAATCTCATTCTTATTATAGGCTCTTTATTTTCTCCAAAAAAATAATAACTGTAACCAATCAGGAACCACATGAAGTCATGTTATGCTAAGAAGTGTGGTGAAAGAAATGGGCTGAAGCGTTGCAGCAACCCATATCCGAACCCGTTAGGGATCATATTAGTAGCATGAAATATCAACAACCCCAGATATGCAGATGAAACCAATCTGATGGCAGAAAGTGAGGAGGAATTAAAGAATATCTTAATGAGGGTGAAAGAGGAGAGCACTAAAAACGGTCTGAAGCTCAACATCAAAAAAACTAAGATCATGGCCACTGGTCCCATCATCTCCTGGCAAACAGAAGGGGAAGATATGGAGGCAGTAACAGATTTTACTTTCTTGGGCTCCATGATCACTGCAGATGGGGACAGCAGCCACAATATTAAAAGACACCTGCTTCTTGGGAGGAAAGCGAGGACAAACCTCGACAGCAACTTAAAAAGCAGAGACATCACCTTGCCAACAAATGTCTGCATTGTCAAAGCTATGGTTTTTCCAGTAGCGATGTATGGAAGTGAGAGCTGGACCATAAAAAAGGCTGACCGCCGAAGAATGGATGCTTTTGAATTGTGGTGCTGGAAGAGACTCTTGACAGTCCCCTGGACTGCAAAGAGAACAAACCAATCCATTTTGAAGGAAATCAACCCCGAGTGCTCATTGAGAGGACAGATCCTGAAGCTGAGGCTCCAATACTTTGGCCATCTCATGAGAAGACTCCCTGGAAAAGTCCCTGATGATGGGAAAGTGTGAGGGCAAGAGGAGAATGGGATGACAGAGGACGAGATGGTTGGACAATGTCATCGAAGAAACCAACATGACTTTGACCCAACTCCGGGAGGTAGTGGAAGATAGGAGGGCCTGGCGTGTTCTGGTCCATGGGATCACGAAGAGCTGGATACGACTTAATGACTAAACAACAACAACAATGATGTATTTGGGGGAGTATTTCCAAATGTTATCACATCTTTATCGAAATCTGTCCATTTCAACTTGTGAATGAGAAAATGCGTTCTACTCAAACTATCCTTTATTAAAAAAAATGAAACTCAACAATGGTTTGCCTCATTGGTTTGATCATCAAATAATGGTTTGATCATCATGACTCATTCAAAAATGGAATCTGGAAGAAATGGTTTTTTAAGCATCTTACATCTGGCTCTGCTCCAAAGTAAAGGAGGGGGAAAATACAATAATTTTTACAATAACTTGAATCTTTGGTGGTCTTTTATTTTAATATGTGACTCTGAAAGCATTCGGAAATACAAAACTCTGAAAGTACTTCTCAAAGATGATTCAAAAGAGATTGGAAGGTAGTACAGTGGTGCCTCGCATTGCGACGTTAATTTGTTCCTGCGAAATCGCTGTAGAACGAAAACGTCGTAAAGTGAAAATAAAAAAGCCACTGAACACATAAAAACCTGGTTAATGCATTCCAATCGGCTAAGAACTCACCATCCAGCGAAGATCCTCCATAGGGGCGGCCATTTTCGGGTACCTGTGCAGCGAAAAATGGCCCCTATACACAGTGGGGAGCCATTTTGAGCACCCAGCAGCCATTCTGAAAACCCGACGATCAGCTGTTTTGATTGTCGGGAAGCGAAAATCGGTTCCCGAAACAGGGAACCGATCATCACGCAGCAAAATTCCCCCACTCAAAATGTGACTCGCAAAATGCAATCGCAAAAACCTCATCATAATGCGGATTCGTCGTTAAACAGAGTGCCCGTCTTGCGAGGCACCACTGTAGTTATGTAACTGTTCCACAGAAGTGCTGGCGAGAGCAATGAGAACTGGCCACTGTGACTGTGCAGGAGACAAACAGCAGGGAGAGCTGAGGAGAGGTTAATGAAGACTATATTTTCAGACAAAGCTTCTTGTAATGTTACGCTAAAGCATAGATGAAAGTGATGTAAATAATCAGTGGCTCTGTGTAGATCCAGTGTTGCTGCTGCTTCAAAGACTATCATTCCGTAAGGGTGCAAAATTAAGTCCATGTTTCAAGGCATGCAACCTTCTTTAACCTCACAGTTGTAGACATACTGCATGTCATCCTTTTCAGCTAAGATGTTTATCGTACGATTTGTGGTTCCTCTGGGAATACGTGCAATATAAGGGAGAACGATTATAAAATAACAAGAGTAGCACTTTTGGGAAAATGCAATCCCAAATGTGCAGTTAGAAGTTAATGGTCTCAGAATCCAGAAAACCCCACTGATTTTTCCCTTGGAACTGACAATTTGCTTAATGAATTAATAATGCTAATTCAAAACTCTCTTTAATTCGAGCCATAAACAGCAATGGATGAATGTTCTGCTTTTGATCATTTGATAATAACAAATTAATTTTAAATTTTAAGCTGGGGTATGTATTTGAATGGTTGGAGAGAGAGAAAAAAGAGAGAGAAAATATTATATAGAGTGAAGAACTGAATCACTGATTACTCAATCTAAGACAGGAAGATTTATTTTAGGTCTCTCAATTCTAGAGACACAAAATCTTCACCTATTGCTCCTTCTTATGTTACCTACACATTGTTTGAGAGGTTTCTAGTTGAGATGGGCATGAACTGCCGGTTTGGTGGTTGTGCCAGTCTGGACGATGTAACCATGTCAATACTAGAAATGGGGATGAATTTTAAAAATGAATCGCGATATTCGTTGAAAATTTCTGATTTGCAGGGAAGCTGCAGCCGCCATCTTTACAAAGGGCAGCCCAGATTCCGTGAAGGCAGGCCATCGCAGTGAAAGGTGGCGAGTGGTGTCTGCGGAGGCTGCTCGCCTGCAGGCTGCTGAGGACAGCTGTGGTACAGATTACAGCAGCCAAGGTAGGGAGGTGACCAGGGTAGTTGGAAGGGGGCAGGGGGGCAGCGTGTGGGTGGGTCAGCTTAAAAATAAACAAACCCGACAACCAATTCGTGGTTCATTGGTTCACGTGGAGGAGATTCGTGGTTCGTCAACTTTGACGTCCCCATCTCTAGCCAAAGTTTCTACTTGAGATGGGCATGAACTGCTGGTTTGGTGGTTGTGCCAGTCTGGACGATGTAACCATGTCAATACTAGAAATGGGGATGAATTTTAAAAATGAATCGCAATATTCGTTGAAAATTGCTGATTTGCAGGGAAGCTGCAGCCGCCATCTTTGCAAAGGGCAGCCCAGATTCCGTGAAGGCAGGCCATCGCAGCGAAAGGTGCCGAATGGTGTCTGCGGAGGCTGCTCGGCTGCAGGCTGCTGAGGACAGTGGTGGTACAGATTACAGCAGCCAAGATAGGGAGGTGACCGGGGTAGTTGGAAGAGGGCGGGAGGCAGGGTGTGGGTGGGTCAGCTTAAAAACAAACCCGACAACCAATTCGTGGTTCATTGGTTCACGTGGAGGAGATTCGTGGTTCGTCAACTTTGACGTCCCCATCTCTAGCCAATACTAATGAAACAACACTAACCATGTTTTACAGTATTTTATTTGTTACATTTCTATTCCACCTTTTCTTCATGGATTTCAAGATCCTCCTCTACATTTTTATTCTCACTGTGGACTTAGAGAGAGAGAGAGAGAGGCCCAGACACACTTTGTCAGCTTCATGGCTGAGGGAGAACTGATCCGATGTCCATCAAGTTCAAAATTCTAAACTATACACTACATTGACTCCCAATCCATATTCTGAGTCAGCAGGAACAGAAAAAAAGTAAAGGCAGTTTTTCTCCTTTTTAGGATATAACTTGCAACCTGCAATCTGACTAGGGGATTCTGGGAACTGTATTCTAAAAAAGCAACTTTCCCAAACTCCGCCTCAGAGAGAAATGGAAGCCAGGCTCACCACAAGCTGCTGCAAACCTCTGAGATAATTGCTTTGCAAACTTTTGAAAAACTGATAATTCACAGCCTCAGGTACCCAGTGTGATACAGAGGATAGCGTGATGAACCGGGACTCTGGAGACCCAGGTTTGAAACTCCACTTCGCCATGGAAACTCATTGGGAGAGTGGAACTGGTAAAATGATTCCATACATATTTCACTTACCTAATAGGATCACTATAAGTTGGTTCAGACTTAAGTAACTAACTACAGTCTTGCCCCACTTAACGATTGCCCCGCATTACAACAAATCTGCTTTATGACGATGTTTTTGCGATCGCAAAACGATGGTCTGAATGGGGGAATTTCGCTTAGTGATGATTGGTTCCCTGCTTCGGGAACCGATTTTTGCTTTACGACGATAAAAAACAGCTGATCGATGGGTTTCCAAAATGGCCACCGGGTGCTTAAAATGGCTCCCTGCTATGCTTAGGGACAGATTCCTCGCTGTATAGGCACTCTTTTAAAAAACTGATAATTCACAGCCTAAGGTACCCCGTGTGATACAGAGGATAGCGTGGTGAACTCTGGAGACCTAGGTTTGAATCTCCACTTGGCCATGGAAATTCATTGGGAGAGTGTAACTGGCAAAATGATTCCATAAATATTTCACTTACCTATTAGGATCACTATAAGTTGGTTCAGACTTAAGTAACTAACTAAACGCCCAGTCTCACCTGAACTTGACTGCTGTTACTTGTTCAGGAGACACCTGGTTTGCTTCTGATCTTCTCTGCGGTAATCCACTCTCCATTTCAGAACATGTTTCCCAATACGCTGTGCCTTTGACTTCCACTGAGTTATGGAAGATGGATGGTTGTCTGAATGTGACACCATCCCCTGCTCCAATGACACTGGAAGTGGGTGAGTGCCAAACATCAGCAGCCTCTGGAGACTGAGGCAATGGCTCAGAGAAGTCTGCAAGGAAATGAGAAAGGGTTGCTCATTCAGGCATAATAGGTGTCTGAATTACGCCAGCCAATTGTGTGAATATCCAAGTAATGAGAAATGACTGGCCAAAGACTGGGCCAGGTGTTAGAAGTCTTATTGGACAGTCATGGTCCACAAACCAATTCTGCTTGGATTAATGGAGGTATGAGATGTAAATGTACACATCAAGGCTAGTGAGTCCTGTGAAGGAGATGGGCCTCCATAGAGAGGATTCACTGACCACTCAGCCACACTAACCTTGCTTAATTGGGTGTGGGTGCTTGCCAGGTGGGTTCAGTGGACTAGTGGCCGGGAAAAGCTTCCTGTGAGACACTTCTCCCAACATTCTTGAGCCCACTTGCTCCTCTGGTGTTCCAGGGAGGGAGAAAAACATTTTTGGTTCTTGTTGCAAGGCATAAAATATTTTTAAAAAACACACACAAATAATTCAAAATCACCAACTTGTTGGTTTATATGAGTTAAAACACAGCTTTTAATTTTTATTAAATGTATTTTTGAAAGACATATACACTTAAAAGTACATGTTGAGCTTCTAAAAGAACAATAACAATGTGAAGTAGTTCCATGGTGAAAGAAAAACAAAACTCATTCAGAGACTTAGGCAGTTCAGATTAGAACCCACAGAAAAATAACAACAGCTGACTAACTTAATCTGTACTTACTAAGTAGGATGGTTCCAGTGCACACACAGAGTTCAACAGAATAACAGATCACGTATTGAACGATGAAGCAAATCATAAACTGCTTGAAGCTGCTTGCTTACCTTCTATCCCATCATCCCCTCTCTGGATGGCTCAACACTTTCAACCAACCAGCTACCATATTTTTCTGTGTATAAGACACCCCCATGTATAAGATGCCCCCCGCTTTTCTAACCCAAAAGTAAGAAATCTAAGTGGGACTTAGCAAGTGTAGGGGGAAAGAGATCAAAGCCCTGCAGGATCACTTTGATCCCTGCTTTCCCTTCCACTTGTTTTTGTTCTCTCCTCAGCCTACTTCCATGTATAAGATGACCCTCAATTTTTATTCTAAAGATTTTAGACAAAAGTATAGTCTTATACGCTGAAAAATATGGTAATTGGCAACTTCTGCAAGAGTAACTCATCAGATTGCACAGCTATCACTAATTTGGGTACCGTGAGAATCCAAATATAACATTCCAAGATTACAGAAAACATTTTTGCACAGGCAGTACTAGGTTTGTTAACTAGAAGGTATCTCCTTCCTCCCCTTCCAACTCATCTACAGCTACCAAGTACAGGCTTTCACAGATATGAGGGAATGAGTTAACCCTCTCCATGCTGGTTTCTTCAGAAGCCCTGTTGGTGGGCTTTGTCATTCCCAGTAGTAAAGAACCTACAGATGTCCAGATAGTGTCAGAGCGAATTCCAGAGTTAATGACCAGCGATTACAGGAGTTGTACCCAGTGACCTCTGTTAAGACCGAACCCTGCCTTATCCCAAATTATTTGCTTACCTGGTTTTGTCTTGCCGCTCCCTCTGCTGGGGTTTTTGATTGGCAATGGTGGTGGGGTCTTCTTGCCATTTGAGCTGTGCTGACCAGGCTGCAGGGGGACTAGGATAGTCTCATAGGTCTCATTGCTGATGTCCATGCCTGTGCAGCTCCACCTGTTTGGAGGGAACAGGGCAGGCTGGGCTGTAGTTGGAGATGATGTGGATCTGAAAGACTGCTGCAGCAGACTCACCTATCAGGAGAAGGAACAAATCCATATTTTTTGCCAGACTTGGACTGCACCTCCCAGAAGCCAGCATAGCCTTACGTCTGCTGTTTTCATTTGACACAGATTCGGTGCTTCAACCTTATACCATCCAAACCATTCTCAAAGGACCAAGTCAATGGTCAAAGTGCCTCTCCGTGGGTCAACAGTCTCTGAAACTGCCTGGAAAAGTGACTTTGTTGGACTACAGCTCCTTGAATCCTCAGCCCAGCATGGCCAGTGCCCAACCTGGCAAGGGGCATTCGTAGTACAATGAAATATTAGGGTGAAGCACTGTCTTAAGACTTGTAACTTGTAACTTCCTACTTGTCTTCTGGCTTGACACTGCAACAAGACAGCAGCAGGAGGATGGAGCACCGTCACCTGGGCTGAATTCCGACCTGTTTGGGACCCCCCAGAGGGTTAAAATCACCCCAAAGAGGTGGTGAAATGAGGGAGAAGCCTGTTGATCATGGGGGGGATGGTGGCTACCCACGTTTGATCTGGGAAACTCTCCAAACAACCAGCAGGCAGAAACAAGCAGCTGAACTAGCTTGCTTGCAAGTTGTTGGCCACCAGCAATGGAGAAGCAATAAATCAGCCTAATTGACATTATGTTACCACTGGGTGAGAAACATTTTTAAACTGTATTGCTTTACTATCCCTGGATGAGACAATCTCAACGGCAGAAATAGCATCTTCTATCCTCCACCGCTGATTGAGCAGCACTGAATCTGGAGAAAGGAGGAGATGCAGGGAAACACAAGGAAAATAAATTGATGGAACTGGACTGTTTTCTTTAAGCATCTGGACAACTTTCACTTGGAATGCAAATATTTGACATCTGGGACATAATGTCACAACAAGGACAATTTTGGGATGAAACAAAATCTATCCTTCAAGCAATTTTAGAAATAGTGAGATCCCACAACAAAGAGGTGGAATTATTCACAAAGCAGTTGAAAAAGAAATATAGTCAACAGGAGACAGGGAATAATGAACAAGGAAATGAGAGGGTGGTGGATGATGTATGCCAATCAAAAGAGGGGCTGGAGGAAATTAGAGGAGAAAACCTAGGAGATTTAATTCTAACCCTGGAGCCGAGGAGAGTTTTAGGTGTGCTAAGGGAAGATAAGGGGAGAGAATCAGCAGATCTAATTAAAAAGAGCCTGGAAGATCTATTGGAGATAGATCAAATGTATAAAATATTCTCAGGTGACACAAGGCACGGCAGAATCTTTAGAGAGATAGAAACAAGAATTAGGAAAAGACAAATAAGAGGAGTTACTTAGAAATATAAAAAAGGAAAAGAATATTAAGGTGGCCTGCAATGTTGAAAGCATGTATATACCTAACTTCTGGAATTGTAAGGGGGCATGTCCTATATATTAGAAAAGGGAATTAAACTGAAATAAGGGATCACTAATCAGGGTAAAGACATAACACGGTGGTTCTTAAGGAAAATTGAAGCTAAATATAAGGATGAAGTAAAACCAATAGTACTTAATGAACATACATTAGATATGATATTGATATAGACATGATAGAAAATGTGCAGATAGAAATGGCTAAACAATTATATAAAGAAAATCGGTATAAAATGCTTTAGATAACATCTATTAAGTGTTAGGAACCTATTCAGTTACTATTGGTATAAAATACAAAGTTTATTGGTTAAATCACCTCAAAATTATATAAATTTGGAACCGGCATTACTTTTATTAGATATGTTATTAGAGGATTTTGAGAACATTGAATAGTATGAGAGCAATATTATGATAATAGCCAATATTGTATGCTAAAATACACACATGAATGGTGTCAACGTTTAAAAAAATGTATAGATTTTGAAGGGACAACTAAGAAGACACCAAGACACAAAAACCAAATAACTATAAGCAACCCATGTAACACGATGTTTAGTAAGCACGAATTGAATGTAGATAGATTGAAAAACTTTCTAAAAGGACATAACTTGTTTTGGATCACATTGGCGAGACCCTAGAAACTGAACCCCCCAAAACAACCCTACAAGCTGTGGTGCAAAACTATGATGCAAACGCACAGAGAGTGCCCACCTTCTCATCCAGTTCATCTTCACTGTCATAAGAAAACTCCTGAGAGGCTTCCCAGTTGAAGTCCACGTGGATCTGTGAAGCCAATCTCCCTGCCTGGGCTTGTTCCAGCTGAAACAAGAACAACAACAGAAAGAAGACTCCTATTGTCAGTTCATCATGTACAAGGGCTTGTTTGTCTTCAAATAAGGTAGAACCCACCCACCCCTCCACTGGATCAGCACCCACAGATTCACTTATTTGCTGCCTAAAAATATTAAATAAAAAACCCACAGGAATATGTATTCCCATGGTGTATTTACCAGAACTAGCCACTAGAGGAAGCCAGAGATGAATAAAAAACCCACAGAAATATGTACAGTGCCCCGCTTAACGCTTACCTCGCTTGACGATGAATCTGCTTCACGATGAAGTTTTTGCGATCACTTTTGCGATTGCAAAACGATGTTTGAATGGGTGTTTTTCGCTTTGCGATGATCAGTTCCCTACTTCGGGAACCGATTCTTCACATTACAACAATCAAAAACAGCTGATCGTCGGGTTTCAAAATGGCCACCGGGTGTACAAAACAGCTCCCCGCTGTGTTTAGGAAGGCTTTTTCGCAAGACAGGGAGCAGAAAATGGCCAGCCTATGGAGAATCTTTGCTGGACGGTGAGTTATTCAGCCCATTGGAATACATTGAATGGTTTTTCAATGCATTTCAATGGGATTTTTTATTTCGCTTGATGAGGATATTGCTTAGCGATTTTGCTGGAACGGATTATCCTCGTCAAGCAAGGCACCACTGTATTCCCATGGTGTATTTACCAGAACTAGTCACTAGAAGAAGCCAGAGATGACGCTATGTATAGCATTAAGTACTTCTGCATTTTTCAACATCTGCAGTGGGACTTGGAAATGACCGCCATGGAGACCGAGGTCCTACTGTACAGCGTCACCATCCTAAATGTGCTTGCTAAAAACCTATGGGAACTTTCTTTTTTAATTACACCTCTCAGAAACCACCAGTCAGCATGCGGATACAAGAACTGTTGTTCAGCAATTGTTTCTTACTTAGGCACCACTTGAATCCAAATCAACATGTCAAGGACTGGACTGTAACATCCACTTTGCACTCTATCCATGGCAATATATCTTGTCACTATATCTTGCCACTGCGACCCTTTGAATGTTTATTTGAATATGGACAATTCCATTAAAAATGGGCACAGAATGACACGATAACAAACATAACAGATCAGAGCCATGCCATTTCAAATTTTGGCAGCATCACTAATGATTAACTTAAGCTCCACTGATTTCAATGAGTTGGCTCTAAGTACAGTGGTGCCTCGCTAGACGGTGATAATCCGTTCCACTGAAATCGCTGTTTAGCGAAATCATTGTCTAGCGAAAAGCATTTCCCCATTGGAATGCATTGAAACCTGTTTAATGTGTTCCAATGGGGAAGAATTGTTGTTGTCTAGCGAAGATCGGCCATAGGAAAGCTGCTTTGCGAACCGCCGATCAGCTGTTTAAATTGCTGTCTTGCGAAGCTTAGGTCCCGAAAACACCTGTTTGCGAGCATGGAGGGAGCTGTCAAAATCGTTGTCTCGTGAAAATCGGTTTGCGAAGCAGGGACCAAACATTGTCCAGTGAAATTCCCCCATAGGAATCACTGTTTTGCGAATCGCTATAGCGATTGCAGAAAGCCAATGTCTAGTGAAAAAACTGTCATGCGGGGTAACTGTCTCGCAAGGCACCACTGTATTGCTATCTTATATCTGCCATTTATTCATTTATTGTACATCTGTCGTATCCTTAAGCCAGAAAACATGTCTCCCCACTCCCACCCCTGAACAATCCTTAAAGGTAGGCTTCGTTTCTTTGGATTTTGCCTGATTTGAACACAGGTCTCCCTGTTCCTAGCCTGCTAATGAAGAATCCATCATCCATACCTACCAGGTCTTCACATTCAGCATGCTTGTACTTTCTTGCCACGTCCAGCGGTGTTTCACCTGCTGCATTTACTGGACCAGGAAAAAGACAACAAAGCAAATAAGAATTAAGGATCCAGACATTCATTTTTTAAAAATTTTCCTGCGTGCTTTAGTATAGTGTAACTGATGATCCTTTTTAGCATTTATGAATAAGTTGTATGCACAAACATCTGTTCTTTCAAGACACAATAAGCTTTGTACAAAGGTTGCCATTACAGTTCTGATTGCAGTGTGAACTGGTATTTTATCAATTTCCAGTAGCATTTGTTCACTGTTTTTTATTATTTATATGAAATAATGCATTTTTTTAAAATGGAAATCTTTTTGCCTGATATAGCAATTTTAAAAGTTTCTATTCCACCTCAACGCTTCCCCATAAAAGTCCATTCAGAAGTTTTGGGGCCACCAGAAAGAAGGATCTACACTTGGTAGAATAGTTCAGCAAGGAAGATCTCATTAAGTACTGGTAGGGAGTAAAGTTCATGCCACAGAACATGCTCACGATCTCCATGCCCCTTTAACTTGCACTAGGCACTCTGAAGATGCCACTAAGCTTCCTTCCTTGACACCCAGCTACAAGGGGAGATTACCTGCATGTATAGAGGCCTTCCCTTTCAGTAGCAATTTGATACAGTTCAGCTGATTGCATTGGGCTGCATAGTGTAGTGCTGTGTTTCCTTCTGGTGTGGGCTTATCCAGATTGCCCCTGCACACAAAGACAAAAATCCAACATTTGTTTTAAGAAAAATTTTTTTAAAGAAAAATGTTTTCATGGTTGTATAGGGTTAGTCTCCAAACGTCACCACACAAATGTTCTCCCTTAATTCTTTTCCGTCATCTGTCCCCTGCTCTTACAACATGACTGGGAAATCTTTGGTTCTCCAGATGTGGTCAAAGATATTTTTATCTTTTCCCCCATCTTGAACAATATTACTATTGCTGTTCTCTAATTTATTATATCGCTTTTATGCCATTTTTTATTGTTAGCCGTCCAGAGTAGGTAGACAGACAGACAGACAGAGATAGATAGATAGATAGATCGATTGATTGATTGATTGATTGATTGATTGATTGATTGATTGATTGATTGATTGATTGATTGATTGATTGATTGATTGATTGATTGATTGATTGATTGATTGATTGATTGATTGATTGATTGATTGATTGCCAGAAACTCTAGCCCACCTGGTTAGTAAGTGAGATGTGACAGGAGCTATAATCAATCAACAATACCAAAGGAACATTCTGAATACATTCTAAGTCTCAAGTAAGAACTCAATAATGTTTCAAGGTATCATCACAACCCAACAGGAACACTGTTGTCCAGGGTTCTGGACAGAGATGGGCACAAATAGCTGGTTTGCTGGTTTACGTCGGTTCGTTTATTAGCTGAAGAAGTGCTTGGCACTTCCCAGCCCTGCCTCCTTCAATGGGTCCTCATCTGTAGCCAGAACGAACCAGCACGAACCGACGAACCAGCAGTCTGTGCCCATCTCTGGGCAATAATTTTCCCCAAGCAGAATATTCTATTTCTCCAACCTCCCCCTCCTGCTTCTTCATGGCCACTCACACATTCAGCCTTCACTAGGCTATTTGTGGGGGAGTGTGGTGATGGTGGGCTTGCTCCCAAAATATTCCCTTGTAGGTACTGATTGCAATTTCAGAGTGCCCCAAAGCACTTCTTGTTTCTCAGCATCCTATCTTGGCTTTATCTCCAGCTGCACCCACTTGAGTTTGCTGCAAGATGGAAGTCACATGCACAGAATCTTGGCTTTCTCAATGCCTGGCATGTGAGCATATAAAAACACACAGATCTGCCAACACCTCATCAGTGTTCCCTCCGAGTAGAGGTTTACCCATTCTGAATGACGAAGTCCACAAGTGGCAGGGAGCTCTTGCTGGCATAGCGAACAGCGAGATGCAGAGCCCGTTCACCTTGTTCCTACCAGAGGCAAAACAGAGAAGGAATACATCACAAACCTTTCAAAATTCAAAAGAGAAATCGCATTTGGCAAAGCCTTCCATGCTAACGTTGCACTTATGTATCTGATCGACAAAGGATCAGTAATGACCTGCAAGGAGGTGCTGTGCAAACTATAATTTTGAAAGGGGTGCCTGATGCTTAGAATATTTGTCACTTAACTTTCAAACGTAGTAACGATCAAGGCAGGAGACAACAATTAAAATGTCAAAATGTGATCCAAAACAGTACTGAACTTGTAAAGGATGGAGATGATGATGATAATCTTGGAACTGCTGAGCTAGAAGGGAGCCTATGGATCATTGCGTTCAGCCCTTGTCAAGGGAACCACAGTGGGGAACTGAACTGCCAACCTCTGACTCCACAACCAGATTCCTAAACCACCAGTCATCCTTATTTAAGCAATTACCCTACAGTAGCTTATATAGACAGCATCTTAAAAAGCAGAGACAAAGGTCCACATAGTCAAAGCTATGGTTTTTCCAGTACCAATGTATGGAAGTGAGAGCTGGACTATAAAGAAGGCTGACCACCAAAGAACTGATGCTTTTGAATTGTGGTGCTGGAGGAGACTCTTGCGAGTCCCCTGGACTGCAAGGAGGACAAACCTATCCATTCTGAAGGAAACCAACCCCATGTGCTCACTGGAAGGACAGATCCTGAAGCTGAGGCTACAATACTTTGGCCATATCATGAGAAGAGAAGACTTCCTGGAAAAGTCCCTGATGTTGGGAAAGAGTGAAGGCAAGAGGAGAAAGGGGACGACAGAGGATGAGATGGTTGGACAGTGTCATCGAAGCGACCAACATGAATTTGACCCAACTCAAGGAGGCAGTGGAAGACAGGAGGGCCTGGTGTGCTCTGGTCCATGGGGTCACGAAGAGTCGGACACGACTTAACGACTAAACAACAACAACAAGCTTATATACAAGGAATAGAACTAATTAAATAATTTTAGCCAGGAGTTAAACCAATTGGTAGCTTCAAAACACATTTTCTAATATATATTTTTATTGTTGCTGTTTAGTCATGAAGTTGTGTCCGACTCTTCGTGACCCCATGGACCAGAGCACACCAGGCCCTCCTGTCTTCTACTGCCTCCCGGAGTTGGGTCAAAACTCTGATATCCATACCGCTTTGAAATCCAAGCCTAACTCTTTTTCACCAAGCTACACTCCGAACGGAGACTTGGAACAGCATAACTTGAGTATACTGTAATTACATTTGAAGTCTTATTCAGGTGTTAGGCCACCTGGCAACTGTGAAAAGAGTAGGGGTGCCTCGTTCCGCTCTCTTCCCATCATCATGTTGTTCACAGTTACAGGGATGGCCCTGAAGAGGGAACTAGTCCTGTTTACATGTAGCAGGAACTTCTCAGGTGAGGGCTAAAATCAAGAAAATCATGATGGCAGAGAAATGGGGCTAGGCTCTCTCTACTAAGTAAGTTCTCAGCACCTGGCTGAATGACTACTGAAAAGAGATTAAGTGCGGCTGATGTACCCATGGGCATCAGTCCTTAATGATGTTCACACCTGAGAGTTAGATCAAGACAGAGTTACACTTGAAGTAGAACAAACAAAATCAATGGGGCATAAGTTAGGACTAACTTTATTTCAGCCACTGAACTTTTTATTGTGAGCCATATGAGCCTAAATCAAAGGGACTCCAAGTGACTAGGTGTTATGTGGTCCCATTTTCCTGCCTTTTCAGCATACTTGAGCAAATTAAGTAAAAACAGATGTCTGTTGGGGTTACCAGCTTCTCCAGCCGCTGCTAACAATCAGAAATCCTAACCTTCCTCTTAAGTCAGTGTTTCCCCAGGTAGGGGCCATAGCTATACCTGGAGGAGCTGTGTCAACTACAACATTCCTTGACCGTGGAAGAGTTCAAAATACGACACATGGACGCTATAATAAGGAAGGACACTGGTTGGGATTGTGCAGCGGCAGGCAAGGAGAAAGACTGTGGGCTCGAAAGAGAGAAAGTAGACAACTAGGTATGGCCAACGGCACTTCTCGAGGCGATAGCAATTTTCACACTCCTCATCTCTCCATCCTGTTTTCTGGCACTTACCTGACCATCTGGAGTGATCAGAGGTTTGGACAGATCGTGACCCTCTGCAAAAGCCTGAAGCAGGGCCAAGAGATCTCTGCTCTGGATAGCTTCCCAGAGATAGCATGGCTCATCCCTGCCAGCTCTATGAACATATTTGCGCTCCATGTACTTGGCCATTATGAATTCCTTCCGAGCATTCCTGCCCAAGAGAAGAGAGCGAGTCCTTTTAAAAAAAACTGGACTTGTTGATCTCAGGGGAGTACCAAAGTATCAAGAAGAGCCATATTTCTTGAGAATAACAATCCATTTACCCCTGCACCCTGTTCCCTTGTCTACATTTCAAAACAGCAATCCATAAGGCTACTATTTAGGGTTAAAGCGGATTTAGCACACGTAGTGACAGGATTCACGATCACTGAATTTCAGCAGCATGCATGGCAGAACCAGAATTATGCATTCTTTCAGCTACAGAAATCCAGTCTTTCCTGGAACAAAATTTAGATTTAAAGGGGGTAAAAAACAGCCCCTAATACAGAGCATACACATAGAGCTAATATGCTAGAGGAACAGAGATTTAGAAAAATCTCCTTTTTTTGGACAATAATATCCAGAATCTCTTACACTGTTGGGGGACTCTGAACATTGTATCCCATATAATGACTTTTTCTAAGCTCTGCAGAGGAATATATTGAGTTTCTTTGTCATTTGGGAGATCTAGCTCAGCTTTTGGCAAGTCTTAACTTTTACACAGGAGGGCAACAGGTAGTCCCGTTGGACTGCAGCTTCTTTCATCTCAAACCACAGGCGATGCTGGTTAAGAAGGATAGGATTTGCATCCCAACAACATCAGAAGGGCCATCATCTGCGCCCTGCCTGTGCTCTGTAGACCAAACGGCATCTCCTGATAATATCAGTTCACCTTCTCCTTGTTCCAGACTAAGCAGATGGAGCTTCATACCCAACCTGGCAACCATAAACTCCAGCTTCTACTTACATATCGCTGCTGGAGGTGGGCTTTGGACTGTCTTGTGTTGGCAAGGTTGCCTCCATTACTTCATTAAATTTGGTGTTTCCTATGCTGACTGCCAGCTAGAAAGCAAGAAAAGGAAACGGTCACCATTAAAAGTATAGCAATAGTAGCCCCCCGTCAAGGGAACCCCCCTTGCCCCACATGCATCAAGGAGGGTGTTTCCAATGCAGATCCCTGGCCCCAGCAAGTTGCCCCCACCATGCCCAGTTAAAAAGATGCCTATGAATGGTGGCGTTTGCCATGAACAGCCATCCAACTAGCTAACAAACCAACCATGGGCAGGATGCAGAAGCAGGTGAGGGTGCTTTTGCCTCTGGCAAACAAAGGAGTAGAGTTAACTCTTGGTCTCAGAGTTACTTCTACACTAACCACGATAGTCCATGCAGTTGAGTGTGACAACTTGGGCAGGAAGGAGAATAACATTTATTGTAGAATTTCCTCCTACAAACCATTAAACCAATGACTATTGATGCAACTAAATGCTCCTAGCATCTTCTGTCTTGCAAGCCCAACTTGAGTGGCAAGTCAAGGGGGGAAAATGGCAATCCAGAATGGGAAAGAGGAGCCTTCTAGATAGTTTTTGGGCAGATACAAGATGTTGGCACCCATGATTAAAGCTTCAAATGGTTTGGAACCAGAAGTTTTCGACAGAAATTTCCCTGGATATTTAAACCAAAGCTGGCCTAATCCGCTTTGCTGCTGGAGGTCAAGAACAGTGAGGTGCTCCCTCCTTGCTCCTTATATAGACATCAACCGGCCAACCTTACTTTTATATTGGTGATATGATGTTGACCTTTAGCCCCTCAGAGAAGGCAGGCCTGTTTCACTGGACAGGCTGTGTGGCACTCGTATGTCTGACTTCCAAGTGAAGGGAAACTGCCAGGGGGCTTCTGAGGAGCAGCTGGGTGGTGCGCATGTGCTACTGGTAGCCTCCAACACTTATTGCCTGAGGTTGCTCTCCACCCTCTCCCTGCAGTAAGGCTGCCCCTGATCTGTCTATCTATCTAGGCTAGCGGTAAATCCACCAATGCTTTGTTTGTGCTATTTGGCTTCCTCCGTTTGCACCAAAAGCCTTTGGGAAGCAAAGAAATTTAATAATACAGCAGAGGAAGCAACCTTGGCACTGATATAAAAGAGAGAAAGTGACAGAAAAAAAGAAAGAAAAGAAAATAGGAAAGAGCCATTCCCTCCCGTGGCGTTTTTAGCACTTACCAGGAGTTCAGATGTGCTGAGAACATCCAATGTCAGGGACTGGATGCGGGAGTAGTGAACCCCCAACTCACGGTGGATGCCCGAACACTCAATACATGTCAGGATGCCAAGGTTGGTCGATAGCCAAGTGGGGTCTACAAGAGAGGAGCTGAGTACAGAGAGGTGCTGCGCAAACCTGACATCTCCTTCCCTCCACTTGACTCATCAATTGCCTGGCATTTCTATTTTTTTTCTGGCGGTTCCCAGTGTGGCGTAGTGGGCGCAGGTGTGTGCGCGCATGCGCAAAGCAGCTTTGGGGAGGGAGTGCGGGCGGGGGTGGGTCTTTGCAGCCCGGTCCGGCTCAGGCCATGGACCAGCCCTAGGTCCCGAATTGGGGGCTGGGGACCCCTGCGCTAGAGGATGATGCACTTGCCCCTGAAGCAATACCTCCTGGTAGGGCCCAACCCTCTTCAACCTACCTTGAGCGCCACAGTCACAGCACTGCCTGTTGCCTGGCATGTTCTTCACCTCGCCAATAATTAGCCTGGTGAGTTCCTGTAGCCCACTGTCAGCCACACCTCCCGCTGAAGGCACAGAGCCTCCCAAGTCCCCTTTGAAAGCATTGCTGAGAGCCTCGTCCTTGCTGTTTTGAAGCACCGACACCCACCTGATCAATGGGAGAGCAGACCAATCAGAGACCTATGTCGATACAGCCGTGCAATGTTGAAGCACAGACGTTCATCCTGACAGCTTCCCTGGACACGTCTCTAAGAACAGCCTCAAACCTTTCCTTAGGGAGCTGGATCCATCCATGCCTATGGTCCCCATCTAACAGTTCTCATCTCTTTCCGGAGCAGAACATTCGCACTGCTCATGGGCTGTGGTCAAGACCAAGCTGGTCCGTTCTAACACTGGGAGAGCGCAGAACGACAATATGTTTGTTGGAAAATCTGTTCCAACGGCTACGGCAGCGAGGCTGAAGATGGGAGCCTGCTTGCGTCATTGAGTCCCGTTGTCATCCCCGCTGATCAAAGCACGCCTGCTCTTTGCTGCAGTGAGTCCTCCCTCCATGACAGCACTGGGAAGGGAGAATCACAGTGCAATGGAATGAAGGAAGGTTTTATGCCGACTCAAATCTCAGAGCTTCGAGACTTTATGTTTCTGGAGTACGGCACCTGACGGTACAGCTAGGCTGTCTTTTGAGATTCTGTGACATGCGGTCCATGTCAAAAGACTGGGGTAGAGATGGGAAAGAACTGCAGTTTGGGGGTTCATGCTGGTTCATTTCAGTGCTTCACAGACCCACCTTCTCCAGTGGGCAGCACCTTGGCTTCCCTGCTCCACTTCCTCCAGATGCTGCCTCTGAGTGGCCACTCCTCAGAGGAGGTGGTGCTGGGAAGCACCAAGCACTTGTTCACATGAAAAATAAACTGGCATGAACTGCCAAATCATCCACCGTGAGAACTGAAACTTCAAGGCCGGACCTTTCTTTTTGGGCAAGAACGTGCAGAAACCCCCTGCATCGTGACTGTGGGCCATGCTAGCTGAGGAGCTGTAGTCTAAAAAAATAATTATCAACTGTAAAACAGCGAAGATATGGTCAAGAACTTACACAATACACTCTCGCTCATCCTCTGCTTGGAAGTGGTACGTTCGGTTGTCTACAAAGAGAAGGGATTTGGAGAGTTGAAAGAAACATGTACCTTTAAAAATATATATCTAAATCTGTTGTTTTATGTTAAAGTGTGCTGCTTATATATCTCTTCCATGGCGTTTAAAGCACTCTCTGGGCAGTTTACAATTTAATTATGCAGGCTACCCTCCCACCCAACCCCAGCAAGCTAGGTATTCAATTTACTGACCTCAGAAGGAGGGAAGGCTGAGTGAACCTTGAGCTGGCTACCTGGGATTGAACCCCGGGTTGCAAGCAGATTTTTGGCTGCAGTACTGCACTGCACCACAAAAGTTTTTAGAATTTAAAAGAAGAAGTATGGGAAATGTGCTTATTCATCTAATTTATGTATTATGCTTGAGCCATTGGGTGTGGGTTACAGAGCATTTTAACTTCCTTCCATCACTGCCACCATTCTCAAAGTCACAGGCCAGCAAACCGCTACAGTTCCTACTGGCACAGGTGACCGTTCAGACGTTTTAGACTGTTAATCCCTATCAGCCCTTCCCAGCCAGGGCAATAGCGGTCAGGGATTATGGGAGTTTGGTCTGAGACATTTGGAGGAAGTCAAGTTGCCTTGCCTTGCTTTAAGACCTCACTGTGATTTTGCTACAGCTTGTCCTGTCTCCCCTTCTTGCTACTCCAGCAATTTCAACCAAGACTAGTCAAAGCCACCATGCCGATACTAGATGAGGACGACCAGACTGAAACTCACTCCAGTCAAGACTGAGGTGCTCATAGTCAATTGAAAGGCAGATGAAGAAATAAGGATCAGCCCGTGTTGGATTGGGTTACGCTTCCCCTGAACACTCAGGCTTACAGCTTGGATGTACTCCTGGACTCATCCTTAAGCCTGGATGCTCAGCTCTCTGCAGTGACCAGGAATACATTTGCACAGTTACAGCCGGTTCTCCAGCAGTGTCTGTTCCTTGAGACATCTGATACACACGAACTTGTCACATCAAGCTCGCGTGATGGTAATATGCTCCCTATGGGGCCGTCTTAGAAGATGGTTTGGAAACTTCAGCTGGTTCAACATACTTCAGCCTAGATGCTGACTGGAGCTGGTTATGGGAAGGATATAATTCCCCTGTTACAACAGGCTGCTGGTCTGTTTCCAAGCCCAGTTCAAAGTGATGGTTATGACCTATAAAGCCATCTACTGGTTGGGTCTAGAGATCTGTATGTATCTTCTGAGCTCCTGAGATTTTTAGGAAGGGCCCTTCTCTCAGTTCCACTGCCTACACAGGCAGGTTTGGCGGAAACCTGAGAAGGTTTCTCTCTGGTTGATCCCAGATGTGAAATGCCCTCCTCTATGAGGCTAGATTAATCTTTCTTCCTCTTGTCCTTTCAATGATAAGTAAAGACATTTTTTAAAAACACAGTAAAGTGGTGCCTCGCATAGCGAGGTTAATCCGTTCCAGATTAACCTTCGCTATGCTGAAGCATCGCTGAACGGGGCAGCGATTTCCATTGGAACGCATTAAACATCGTTTAATGTGTTCCAAATAGGCCAAATACTCACCGTTCAGCGAAGCTTCAGGATGGCCAGCAGCCATTTTCGCGCCCTCGCCTCGCTTAACGAGGGCGCGAAAACGCTGCGCGCGGCCATTTTAGGCCATTTCCCGGCTTCAGCTGATCATCGGGGTTCGTTTTGCAAAGATCGGTAAGCGAAACGCTTACCGGTCTTCGCAAAGCGAATTTTCCCCCATTTAAAAAACGTTGAGCGATCGCATTAGCGATCTTTTAGGAAGGGCCCTTCTCTCAGTTCCACTGCCTACACAGGCAGGTTTGGCGGAAACCTGAGAAGGTTTCTCTCTGGTTGATCCCAGATGTGAAATGCCCTCCTCCATGAGGCTAGATTAATCTTTCTTCCTCTTGTCCTTTCAATGATAAGTAAAGACATTTTTTTAAAAACACAGTTTTAGTGTTGGTTGGACAGTGTCACCAAAGCGACCAACATGACTTTGACCCAACTCCGGGAGGCAGTGGAAGACAGGACGGCCTGTCGTGCTCTGGTCCATGGGGACACGAAGAGTCGGACACGACTAAACAACTAAACAACAACACATTCTTTTAGCATCTTCAGATGATTAATTTTCCACTATGGGATGTTTGTTTTAATTGAATGATATATTGTGCTTTTAACCTCACTCTTATTTTAATGACTGAGAGCTGCCTTGAGTCCCTTTAGACATAAGCATAGACACGAAATGAAATTAGATAGAATGAATCAATAAATAAGAATAAAAACTGGGCTGAAACTAACAAAAAATCCAGGTATAGCGTAAAGTTTGTTTTTTTAAAACATACGTGTTACGAGATCAAAGGACTTTTTATCTTCTGGATGAGGCCTCACTTGGCAGGTCAACAAATTTAACTTTACAGGAGGTCGGTTTATCTGTGGAGGGAGGAAAATTGGAGCGACAGATTAGCATACCTGCCAGGTGGCTCTGTTTACTAAGTAACAGCGGGTTGATAAATTAACCTATTAATTCAGTAACAATATCTGTATGGTGACCATTAATCATATTTTCCCCACAGGCTACAATAATACAACAATACAATATGAAATAATGCCTATAATGAGATGTCAAAATTAGTGGCTAAATCTAAGCAGAGTTCAGCTTTTCAAAATTGAGAGTGTCTAAATAGTCATAATTCTCCCATTGATTTCAATGGTTCACTTTTGGAGTATTTATTAAAGGTGGTGGTGGATTGGAAGTGGGGATTCAAGAACTCACTTGGGCACCATAATTGCAATGAGACTAAACTTGGCAGAAATGAGAGTAAACACTTCCAACTGAGCATGAAAAATATGCTTAATACTTCTATCCCTCTTCTGGTTCTGTAATTCTGCCTTTTTACAGCACCTTGAACACAAAGAATTTGCATAGTTGTCTACTTACTGGAATTACAGGGAAATCTTCCCTTGCAAACTACCTGTTGTTCCCAAATGGGCAAGGCCTTTCTCCAGAACCCCTGAAGAGTCTCGTTTCTCTTAAGACATGCACAGGCCTGTTTAACTGGGAAACGTGCCAGGGCAAGGATAGGTTAAAAACAGTGGCTGTAGCAAAATCGCCTCTGGCTTCAAGTGACTGATTTCCAAGAGGAAATGACGGGAAGAGAGGTCTAAATGACCCCTACCAAAATTACAGAGAAGACATGAATATCCCAGTTAAAGATTCGTGTTGGAGGATAGCCCTTCCGTAGAGATGCCATATAGATTAGATTTAGCCTCTTTTGTTTTTATGCTACAAGGATTGTCTGGAGGTCTGAAAGAGGAAACACCTTACGAGAATGTTCTGCATTCTTGTAAACCAAGTCACCCATCTTCTTCCTATGCATTGGCTCTGGACCATCAGATAAGAACAGCCAAGGGGACAAAGATTAAGATCAGGGCAAGGCAGGACACATGACTAACAAGGGGCCAGATCACGTCAGCCTGGCCAGAAACTATATACATGATGCACAACAGTCGTATTAGTTGTTCTTGTGTGAATCTTCCTGCTGTGTCTTTCTCTCTGCCTGAACCCTGTTCCTGTTGATCACTGCCAAGCTTCATGTTGACTTCATTTTTGAGGTGAAGTCCCTGTTTTAAGCCCCCCCAGACAGAGAATCCTGCTAGCTTCTGTGGTTCTCCTGAATTTGTGGTTTTTAGTCTAGCATCTCTGTTAACATATTCTCTCTTCTGACCCTCACTCATGAATTCCTCCCCACTGTTCCAGCTGAAGTTCCACTGCTCCCCAACTTCAAGACAGTCTAATGAGACTAGAGAGATGCAATCTTTTCCACCCCCTTTCCATTCCTTTTTCATTCCTGCTCTGAAACTGAGATACAGGGGGAAACTGACACCATAAAGTCCTATTTATCATACTGTTTATGATAAATCAGGACAAATCATCTTTTCTTCAGCATTCAGTAAATAAGTCATGAATATTGAGAAAATGCTGGTTGTATGTCTCAGTGGTTTCGGTCTCTGACTGTGGAGCCAGAGGTTGGGAGTTTGATTCCCCACTGTGCCTCCAGCGAGTAGAGCCAGGCTATTTGGCCTTGGGCAAGCTGCACAGTCCCAGGGTGTCCCCCCCCCCAAAGAAGGGAATGGCAAACCATTTCTGAGCATTCTCTACCTAGAAAACCTTGGAAAGGGTTGTCATTAAGTCGTAACTGACTTGACGACATGTGATAATGATGACTGGGAAAATGGGTCACCATGAGTCAGAAGTGATTTGACATCATGTTAACGACAACACTGGGAAAACGTCTATTGACTATGCTTCTCACACATCATCTGGATATGTTCGTCATAGCCACATATGGACATCAGCAAGAAAGGAGTGTGGCTAGTGGGCACGTCAGCATGAGGAGGGAAGCCAGCAGGCACTTCCTCGTGGTCTTCGGGCCAGAGAACACACTCTCAGTGCCAAATTTCACCCCCACCCTTTAGGCCCACTTACTGTGCTGTGTGAGATGGTGAGGTAGCCATACTTGACGCCGCATTTTCTCTTCTGCCACACTTTCCGAATCCTAGGAAAGAGAGGCAGCACAAATGCACTTGGTTGGATGGATCATCTCCGCTAAAGGATAAAATAGCTCTCTATCAGCCAAAGTATGGTGTAATCCGCCTTGGGACAAAAAGCACCTATCCCCATCGGCTTGTAGCTTTCTTTCTTTTTACAACATTTACAGTATTTGTAGCTCTTACAGAAGCGGACAAGGTCACCTCAAAGAAAAGCCACATTCTGCTGATTATTACCTAAAATGAATGGCATCAAAGAGGAATATGATGAAGAAGCAGATTTCAAACCTAGTGGAAGTTTCCACACTTGGTTTCCAAAAAGAATATAAAACACTGAAATGCAGGCTACACAAACTCCCTGCTCCCCCATATCCTGCCACTCTTGCCCACTGAAGGCAGAACACTCAACAAAACTCAAACCATCATGTATTTTTGAATTGGTTCTTATTATATTTGCTTTACTTTATTGTACACTGCTCAAAGTAGCAGTTTGCTAAATGGGTGGTATAAGAATTGGATGGATGGATGGATGGATGGATGGATGGATGGATGGATGGATGGATGGATGGATGATGCTCAGTGGACAGGGCAAGTGCCAAATTTGCCTGTGTGAAACACCAGCCCTAAACACCGCTGAATTGTTCTAGTGAATCAGTGCTTAGAACAAGAGGCATGGCTTTCTATGAGGAATTGTCACCTTAACCACCCTGGTGGAGTAGTCCATTCTGAACTACAGGCTCTCATAATGATAATGCTTTCAATCAGCACCCCAAAAGAAAGATTTTTTTTAAAAAAACTGCAGGCCGCTTTTATCAGTCCAACATATACAAGCTGTATATGTCCACTCTCATCTCCATCGAGACATGAATTTCTGTGAACGTTAATGGCTTTTCTTGCCCGCTCAGAAGGAAGCCATCCCTGAATACTTTCCAGTACACCAGGGATAGCTTCCAGGTGCTAAGAAAACACTTTTTTTCCCTATCAGGAGAACGGCAGAAAAGCTCTGGAAAAAAGCCAAGCTCAGAGCCTGACCGGGGTGGCAGATCCATCTGCTGTGCCTGCGAAACAAACAGGCTGGATGTTTCACTCCTGCAAGCCCCAGCTCCAGGATGACCCTGCTTGACCATTACGCAACGAAGACACAGCCGAAAGATTAGGGTCGTTCTTACCCATCGCTTTTCTTGTGCAGAAAGCCAGACTTCTCAGTTCCGTATTGCTTGTTTCCTTGATGCTGGTGGATACTGTATCCACTGCCGGAATTCTTCCTATTGAGGTTTTCCTGAATTTGCCAAAACACATACAACACCATGTTCTGCGGTACACACACAAAAGTCAACGTATCCCATCAGAAGCAGTGCCGTGGGCTTCTCCCTGCCTTGCCCTGTCCTCCTCCAAGAGGACACCCACGGGAGAAGGCAGGACACAGAACCCAGCGTGCCAGCAACAACACTGCAAGCCCAGTCCTCCACACCGCACCAAACCGTGATAAGTGTCCGCCCCTCGTTTCATCTCTTGCGAGGAGGCTTCATGGAAGACTTACTCCTTTGCTCTCCAGCTGCAGGATGCCTCGGAGAGAATCACGGATCTGAGTGAGCTGCTTCACTTCCTCTTCTTTAGCCTGATGAAGCTGGAAAGACCGGAAACCTCCATGAGAGGCACAGAGGCAAGGCCTCACACAGGACCGGAATCGAAGAACAATATTAAGAAAAATATTCTGAAGGGTTTGATAGTACAGTGGTGCCTCACTTAACGGGCGCCCCGTTTAACGACAAAATCGCATAGCGATTAACTTTTTGCGATCGCTTTTGTGATCGCTTTGCGATGTTCCCTATGGAATCAGCAATGATTTTTTAACAGCTGATCGGCAGTTCCATTGGATGGATTCCTCGCTTACCGAGCAGCAAAAATGGCCACCATATGGAGGTTTTTCGCTTAAAGGTGAGTCTGAAGCCCACAGGAATGCATTGAAGGGGTTTCAATGCATTCCTATGGGCTTTTTAATATCGCATAGCAACAAAATCGCTTTGCAGCTATTTTTGCTGCACTGATTATCGTCGCTATGCGAGGCACCACTGTATACAGAGTTTTTCCACTATGCCCAAAGGGCTGAAACCTGCTCTGGTGTCCGCCCAGCTCATGAATATTCATAGGATATCTGCACAGACCAGTGGGCGTGCTGGAGGGGCAGATTCACGACATGTAAGAGACTCAGCAGGAGGAGGGGGAGTTAGATAGTTGAAGTTTTAGATTGGGTGAGAGAGTCTGGGGAGTTTCAGCATTATGGTGGTGGCAGAGAGTGGATGAAGGAGGATGTTTGTTAACAGTTAACAATGCTGCTTCAAGTATCTACATCTATAACAATAAGGGATAGTGGTGGCAGAGAGCGGATGAAGGAGGATGTTTGTTAACAGTTAACAATGCTGCTTCAAGTATCTACATCTATAACAATAAACAATTTCTATTTGGTTCTTTTTAAAATGACATATAGCTTGGACATCTATCATTAATAATAGAGAACATCGATGTAATCAACTGGTGGCAAGCAGAGGCCGCGTGGGGATCGTGACACATGCAAAACAATCTCATGTCTTACGCTGAGCCAACTTCTAGTCCCATGGAAGCTTTTGGGGATGTGAGGGGGTGTATTGAACTGGCAATTAGAGGAGGGGAGGAGAATGCCTGGGAGAGGGGGGAGTGTTTGGGGGTCCTGGGAAGAACTGGACCTGGCCTTCTGTGCTGTGGGAGAGACTTGGCCTCAGGTGCTCCAAGATGGAGTAAACCAACACTGAGTCAATAATTTAAAAAAATGAAGTTTGCAGTCACTTGGACACACATTAAACAAAAGAGCTGTTAATGACTTACTGCATGTAAAGATGCTGCTAGCTTCTCAATAAATGGATAGAGGTTCTGAGATGCCTTCCAACCATCTTGGAAGAAGCTGGGAGTGGGTGGGTGTTTTTCAAACCAGCAAAGAAATGTTTAGAAGGACAGAAAGAAAAAGAGAGAGAAAAAAAACGCTGTGAATTTAGGTTAGACCATTGTAAAAACAAAGCTTTAATATTTACACACATGCAGTAGCCTTGGGAGTCTTGACATTTAGTGCCCCATCACAGAAGGCGATGTGGGCTACCGGTAGGAAATGCCAACTTGTACTCACTTGTGCTGTGCATGATAGAACTTGATAAGGCTCTGGAGGAAGTCTGGCCCTTGCTTTGTTTGGCACTCATTAGCTTTCAGAAGGTACTAGATGAAGCGAAACAGACAAATATCCTTCCTTAGTTATAATCTCTGAAGATGAAAGGAATTCTGCTCAGTTACCAAAAGCCTAAGAGAAGCAAAGTTTTCTTAAATATATACTTGAAGATTCCCGTTTAAGCTGCTGGTGCTACATCAAGGAAGAATGCTTGTAAAAATGATGACTGAAGCAGCAACCATCTGCCAGGCATTAGATGCCCCGGCCCCTACACTGATAGTTTGTTGGCATTCTTCTTGAAGTGTGGTGGCCAGAACAGGATCCAGTACTCAAGATGAGGCCAAACCAGTTCCAAATAGAGAGGGACTAATATCTCATGGGATTTGGAAACTATGTTTCTATTAATACAGCCTAAAACAGCATTGGCCTTTTTTGCAGCCACCTTACACTGTTGGCTCATATTCAGATTGTGATTTACAACAATTCTAAGATCCTTCTTGTTCATAGTATTACTGACTCAAGTATGTCCCCTCTTGTAACATTTTGTGCATTTGGGCTTTTATTTCCCCCTTAGGTGTTGAACTTTGCACTTGTCCCTGTTTAACTTCCTTCTGTTATTTTCAACCCAGTGTTCGAGCCTATCAAGATATTTTTGATTTTTTTTCTCCTGCCTTATATAATGATAATGGTTGCTATTTATGTGTGTGAGTCAAAGAAAGAATGATAACAGAATCCATTTTAACGGATAATGGTAATGCAACTATTTCTCAGACCGATTGTTCTTCCCTAGCTTTAGTGATGCATTTCAGTTTCTTTCTTCAAACGCTGAACAAGATTGGTTTGTTGTAAACACTGTTTAGGTTCAACAAAGTTGGAAAAAATGGAGCAGAAATCCTTCTCCACCTGACTTTTGTCCTCATAGTGACTCTGCAGTGTATGTCAAGCTAAGAGGGACTGCAACAATGTCACCTAATTAGTTTGATGGTTGAGTGGAGAGTAGAACCTGAATCTCTGGTAAGTCCCAGGCCAACCCCATAACTATTGTGTTGCTTCACCTTATAAGTACATCCCTATTTTCATAATACAGTGGTGCCTCGCTTAACGATTGCCTCGTTAAACGACGAAACCACTTGACAATGAAGTTTTTGCGATCGCTTTTGTGATTGCAAAATGATGTTTCTATGGGGAAAATTCGCTTAACGATGATCGGTTCCCTGCCTCGGGAACCGATTTCTCGCTAAACAATGATTCTGAAACAGCTGACAGTTCTAAAATGGCCGCCCACTGTGCAAAATGGCTCCCCGCTGTGTTTTCAGGACGGATTCCCCGCCTTACAGGCACCGAAAATGGCCACCTCTATGGAGGATCTTCGCTGGACGGTAAGTTTTCAGCCCATTGGAACGCATTGAACTGGTTTCAATGCATTTCACTGGGCTTTTTCATTTCGCAAGACGATGTTTTCACAAGACAGCGATTTTTGCAGAACGAATTAACATCATCTTGCGAGGCACCACTGTAGAACTCTCTGTTTATACAAAAAAAACCACAGATAATGGATTTAGACCATCAAAAAGGCATACGTTCAGAATCTTTAGATCTCTTCATCATGCAAGACATTTGAAAACATGGGAGAGAGACAACCTCACCTGAAAAGCCATGCACTTTATATGTATATAGAACTCCCCATTAACCATGCAGGCTGGCAGTTTGGGGAGCTGAAATCCATCAACTTTTAGAGATCCAAGGCTGGGAATGACTGAACTTGTGGAAGAGTCCAGATTGTTTTCAAAGGCAGGGTCACAAAAATCCAAATAGGATATTACCAGAATTTGAATAATTATTGCAAAACTACCTATAGAGAGACCAAGCTTGGCCACTATCATGATAATGAGGCTGAAGTTCGACGGAGACTTCAGTGGGCAAGCATGCTGAAAAACGTTTGACAAAATGACCATGTACTGTAGGATCCAGCAAAGTGTTTATGGTTAAAACAAACTTTCAGCCTCACAATAAGCCTGTGCACCGTAATTGCAAGGGGATACCTACCTCACACATCTGAAATTGGAAAGCGCGGCGCTCCTTCTGCAGATCCTCAGTAATTTCTGCTGAGGGTTCTACCGGGACAACTCCAGAAATCTTGGCCCGCTCCTTCTCTTTTTCCAGCTTTGCTCTAGAGAAAAAAAAATATTACAAATTTTGTTTCATTTCCATTCACCCACCAACTTTTCCTCCGAGATTATTATATGGCCAGTTTCTAAGAAGCATGGATTCCCAGTGTGGTGTTGTGGATACAGTGTGATGGACCAGGACTTCGGAGAACAAGGTTTAAATCCCCACTTGGCCATGGAAACTCACTTGGGGGAAGCGGAACCAGTAAAGCCTCTCTAGATATCTGACTTACCTTGAAAACCCTAGCAGGTCCAACTTGACCACACGGAACACACACAGACACAAAACGCAGGAGCCTCGTGGCGCAGTGGTTAAACTGCGGTACTGCAGCCAACCCAGGGTTTAATCCCAGGTAGCCGGCTCAAGGTTCACTCAACCTTCCCTTCTTCTGAGGTCAGTAAAATGAGTACCCAGCGATGTGTCGCTTGCATAATTACCTTGTAAACCAGCAGGATAGTGCTTTAAGTGCTGTGGGGCAGTACATAAGCAGTAGACCCTGCTATATTTCAGATATGGTTGAATACAAGGGTGTCTTCGAGCCCCATCTCTCATCATCCAGGGACACACAGTCCATCCTAGGAATTCCAGGCCCACACATTGCCTACGCCTGGTCTACAATGACAGACACTAACTTTCAGATGTTCAGGCAAGAGTCTCTCCTATCTCTGCCTGGACATAACAGAGGGTGACCGCTCTCCTCCATGCAAACCATATGCCATGCCACTGTTGCCAGAACAGAGGAGGAATAAAAGGCAAGTCTCATTGGTCAAGTTCTACCACCACCTGTGTGCTCATCAAAACACATTTATTTGGGACAAGAGGGGAGAATTAGCCTTTTCCTGCCAAGGCAGCAGGGAATACTCACACTTTGGTCTCGTAATCCTTCCAGGCCTTTTCAATCTGTTTCTTGGAATCCTGTCAAGAAAAAAAGGGAAAGGGGGATGAGGGGAAAAGGGGACTGAGCAGGGAGTTCCTGAAGCACGAAACAAAAGGCATGTATTGTTGGCCAAGGGGGTGGTTGTCCTCTTATTACGTGACCAGAATTTCCTCCTGCCAAGGCCTTAGACAACAGACCCTTTCAATTACAGCAAGATGATATTTCCACCATTTCACCGTCTCGAGGAGAAATTTACCGGAGCTGAAATGCCAGAGGCTGGAAATGTGAATCTTCTCTATGCACTTTGATTTTTGTGCACCTTAATTATTTCTGAAATGCAAGACCATTCAGTCAAATGGGCAGAAAGGGGATCTGTCTGGGAGGCCCATACGAGTTGGAATGTTGCCATGTTGTATGGAAAACAGGCAAAAAAAAAAGAGAGTAAGCAGTAAAGGCTTGCCAGAACAGCATCACGATGGTGAATGCCGATGAAGTTTCTTAAAATCCGAAAAAGCAACTACGTTATCAGTCTCATGGCGGTGCTTTTTAAGCTTTTCGGTCAAACCACTGAAAAATGGAATAAGATTGAGTTCTTAAATTAACCATTACATACAACATGGCTGAGGGAAGTGCAGAACACCAAATGTTGTTGGACTACTGCTTCCAGTGTGTCCCTCACCCTTAGGTGTGCCAGTTAGGGTTGTTGGGAATGTCTAACAACATGTATGTATGTATGTATGTATGTGTATGTGTGTGTGTATGTATGCGTGTGTATGTATGCATGTAAGTATGCATGTGTATGTATGTATGTATGTATGTATGTATGTATGTATGTATGTATGTATGTATGTATGTATGTATGTATGTATGTGTGTGTGTGTGTGTGTGTGTATGTGTGTGTGTGTGTATGTATGTATGTATGTATGTGTATGTGTGTGTGTATGTATGCGTGTGTATGTATGCATGTAAGTATGCATGTGTATGTATGTATGTATGTACGTACGTACGTACGTACGTACGTACGTACGTGCGTGCGTGCGTGCGTGTGTGTGTGTGTATGTATGTATGTATGTGTACATACGTACATGTACATGCGTACGTATATACATACGTACGTACGTACGTACATACATACATACATACATACATACATACATACATACATACATACATACATACATACATACATACATACAGTGGTGCCCCGTATAGCGAGGTTAATCCGTTCCGGATTAACCCTCGCTATACGGAATCATCGCTAAGCGGGTAGGGGAAACGTATTGGAACGCATTAAACTTCGTTTAATGCGTTCCAATACGTTTGTTACTTACCCGTTCAGCGAGATTCCAGGTGCTGGCAGCCATTTTCGCGCCTTCGCTAAGCGAGGGCACGGCGCGAAAACGGCTGCCGGCAGCCATTTCCGGGCTTCCGGCGGCCATTTTGGAACCGCCGATCAGCTGTTCGGCGGCTCCAAAATGGCCGCCGCAATACCCGATTACCCGATCTTCGCAATGCGGGTTTTCCCCATTGCGAAGATCGGGTATGTTTCCGTATAGCGATCCCGAAAAAGGGATCGCTATACGGAAACATCGCTATACGGTGCACTCGCTAAGCGAGGCACCACTGTACATACATACATACGTATGTATATATGTTTGCTGGATCCTTGGAGAGGTGACACTCACCACACATATGCTTGATCTTTGCCCTTCTTGGTTTATACCAGTGGTTCTCAAATTGGGGTCACTAGAAGTTCTTGGACTGCAGTTCCCAGAAGCCTTCACCACTAGCTGTGGTGACCAGGATTTCTGGGATCTGTAGTCCAAGAACATCTGGGGACCCCAGTTTGAGAACCACTGGTTTATACAAGCAAGCAAGAGAGGACTGGCAGAGTGAGAAAGAATGGCTCAGGGCATAATTCCATCTTGTCAAAAGAGGCAGTTAAAAGGCTTCTTTTAGGGAGGAAACCCACTCTTTGGACCCCACTATGTTGCCCTACTATCAGCCAGTCTCCAAGGTTCCATTTCTGGGCAAGGTGCTGGAGTGTGTGGTGGCCTCTACAGCTCTAGGGACTGCCGATCAAAAAGTTCATCTAGATCCATTTCAGTCTGGCTTTAGATGGGATTATGGAACTCCAGAAAGTTTTGGTTGCCTGTGTGAACAAGCTAAGCTAAGAACTGGGCAGGCAAGTGGGTGCCTATTGGCTCTGGTGGCCCTCTTGGCAGCTTTCAGTACCATCAATAATTGTATCCTTCTTTGTTCTCTCCCTGGGATGGAACCTGGAAGGACTTTCTCGGTTTCAGTCCTTTTAGGACTAACAAAGCTATCTTGGTTCTAAACCAGTGCATGGGATCTTCATCTGACTGGAGGAGAGCGAATAAACTGAAGCTTGGCAGCTTACCATCAATAATTGTATCCTTCTTTGTTCTCTCCCTGGGATGGAACCTGGAAGGACTTTCTCGGTTTCAGTCCTTTTAGGACTAACAAAGCTATCTTGGTTCTAAACCAGACCAGTGGATCTTCATCTGACTGGAGGAGAGCGAATAAACTGAAGCTTAACCCTGTCAAGACACATGCTTTAGTTATACTCCTCCTGGATCACCATAACACAGTCTACATGGAGCTGCCTTTGAAGGTGGTTTGGAAGCTTCAGTTAGTTCAAAATGATGCCGCCAGATTGCTAACTGGAGCTGGTTACAAAGATTTTATAATCTCCTTGTTACAATAATTTCACTGGCTGCTAGATCTGTTCTCAATCATCCCAGAGTGCAGAACACATGATAATGGGCTCAAGTTACAACAAGCCAGATTTAGATTGAATATCAGGAAAAACCTGACTGTTAGAGCAGTACGACAATGGAACCAATTACCAGGAGAGTTGATGAGTGCTGCAACAATGGAGACATTCAGAAGAAAACTGGACAACCCTCTGTCAGATCTGCCTTGATCTGGATTTCCTGCATTGAGCAGGGGGTTGGACTTGATGGCTCCCTGCAATTCCATTATTCTATGATTCTATGACTCATAGCCTGCTTCCAGTAGACTCCTGCAAACTACGTCCAAACTGCATAAACTGCTAAGTACAGGGGTGCCTTGACTTATGAACGTCCCGACATACAGTGGTGCCTCGCATTACGATGCTAATTCTTTCCAGCAAAATCGTTGCAGAACGAAAAAGTCGTAATGCGAAAATAAAAAGTCCATTGAAACGCACTGAAACCCCTTCAATGCATTCCAATGGGCTGGAAACTCACCGTCCAGCGAAGATCCATCATAGGGCGGCCATTTTCAGTGGCTGTCTTGCGAGAAATCCATCCCAGAAAAGAGTGGGGAGCCATTTTATTTACCCGGCAGCCATTTTGAAACAGCTGATCAGCTGTTGGAAAATCGTTGTTTTGCGAAGAATTGGTTCCTGAAGCAGGGAACCGATCATCGTAAAGCGAAAAAACCCTATTCAGACCATTGTTTTTGCAAGCGCAATCATTTTTGATTTTTTTTTTCCCGAGTCGCATCGTGTTCTGGTGGGGCTTGGAGTGGTGGGTTTTTGGTGGCTTTTTTGTTGTTGCTGCTGTTGGGTTTTTTTGTTTGTGTGATTATTATTTTTTGTCTGGAACGGATTCATCGCATTCCAATGCATTCCTATGGGAAATGGTGCTTCGACTTACGACTATCTTCTGGAACGGATTATGGTCGTAAGTCGAGGTACCACTGTACATGCACACTAACACTGACTTGATAACTGCCAGAAAACTGAAGAAGGAGGGGAAAAGACTGAGGCGATACATGAGGTTGAAATACGTAATTTCACCAAATGTGGCAGGTACCTGGATACTATTAAAAGGGAGTCCCAACTTGAAAAATTTGGGAAATTCTGATTTAGGACATTTGGAAAAAGGAGAAACATTTAGAAGCAACCACGACGGTGCCCTGGATGTTCCTCCTGAACTCCTGGCCATTTCTCTCTGCTGAAGTTCAGAACTGTGTGTCCTACACGGTCCAACCTATTTCCTAAACTGGTCTGCTAAGATCAGGGTATAGTGGGGGACTGTGTCTCACTGTGGGAACGCAAATGTCCATCCAGTCTTTGAGATCTGGTCAGGGGGAATCATCTGTTTGCTCATCTCAAGGAGCAAAATGTTAATAAAATGGTTGATTATCACTGAATGAGAGTTGGAACAGAAGTGGCACGTGTACCAAAACATTGTGCCTAATATCCCTATGGCATAGATCTGCCCCCAAGCCCGCTCTCCTGCGCCTCCCCCACAAGCAGCGTCTCCTTAAAGAATGCATACCAGCCGGCTTTCTTTAAGCTGCCCTTTCAACAGGCTGTCCAGTGGGAAAGAGACAATATTGTTCAAATTCTGCACCTGAAAGAGACAAAAAATACGATCACTTCCAAACTGCTGGATAGCTCAGTGGTTTAAGGTCTCTGGCTGCGGAGCCAGAGGTTGGAAGTTTGATTCCCCACTATGCCTCTTTGACAGGGGCTGGACTTGATGACCCACGGGGGCCCCTTCCAGCATTGCTGTTCTAAGATGCACTGCTACAAGGGAGGAACTGTATTTGTGGGACTGGCCCCGATCCCTCCACCTGCAAGAGTGGACTCTTCACCTCCCCCAAGAGTCAGGGTGAGATCCTCGACCCACAGATCACCTACGTGAAGCCTACAAGCACTCTTGCACAAAGAAGAGAATTCAGCAGTGTGAAAAAGTTACTTTTCGGAACAGCATGTTTCAGCATCCCCCAGCCGAAATTGCCAGTGGCCGTTGACGGCCAAGAGACTCCGTAAGTTGTAGTCCAAGAGTCAACATTTCAAACTCTGTGTTAATAAATAGTCCTCCAACTAGAGGGCTGCCTAATGTATGACAGGATAAATAATCACCCTCTTTTTGAAATGAGAAATACAACAGGCCGTCTGCCCGACCTAGCCCTTCCCCTTACCAGGTTTTTGAAAAGAGCCGTAACTTCCCTGGTGAAGACAGCCAGATTCAGGAAGCCTGTAGAAAGTTCATGATTGCTCTGCGAGAGGTGGTTGTTGCCGAAGCTTTCAAGAGTCTCGGTGTATTGTTCCTCGTTCTCTGCATGTACTAAAGGGACACCAGCATGAAAGACCATCAAAATGATTCTAAATGTCCACTGGCCAATGTCAGAATGCACGTACGCTGGAGAAAGAATTAACTAGTTTGGACAGCATTGCAATTAGCAATCCTGGTACTCTGGGGAAGCATCTTCAAGTCAACTTCGTAATTCATGACATGAAAATGATATAAGACATATTACAGCACTGAATACTTTGCTAGCGTCTCCCTTGCTCTACGTGGAATCAGCAGTACTGCCAGAACTATAAATATAAATCATATGTGTGTTAATTAAATAAATAAAGCATGTTTCTCATGCTAATATATTAACAGGATGACTTTCTAGTCCAGTCCAGAGTCCTGGTCTAGTGAGCCTTTGGTAGACCTTCCCTCCATCGCCTCAGTGGGGACTGTTGAAATGACAATACTTTCCCTGATGGCCTGGTCTACTAGCTGTTTAATCTGCCAAAGACTGGCAAACTTCACCATTTAGGCCTGGTTAACCGATGACTTTTCCTACGGCAAACAAACAGACTGCTTGGTCAACTGTGGGCGTTGGGGGAAGGGGTGTGCCTCTAAATTTGGTGTCTTGGGCAAAGCCCAGTTGTCCAGCCCTATTTATTCTGTGGGTCCAAATTACCTACTCCCATAGTGGCCAGACATACTGAACCTCTGTTAAACCCATGAGAAGTGCATGAAATCAATCTCTTCCTCTGACTGCCTAAACATGAGGCATTCCTATTCATAGGAATACCATCTCCATTTAATCCCACTTGAAGGTAAGAATGGAAAAATAGACTTTTCTGAACAATAGCTCCCTCTCGTTGGTTCTGGTATTCTGGAAGCTGTAATCCACAAGTTAAGTCTTCTGAACTCAGCATACGATAGCAACGTGCTCAGATCTTGAGGTTAGCCTTTAAGACCCTGCTTTCTGCTGAACTTTTCTAACTTTTGGGTTAGACATGGCTTTCAGGGAACGTTTATAAATAGTACATACTAGGGAATACTATACTATGGAAAGCAAAAAAAAAAAAATGAATGTGATGGGCAAGGGAGAACACAGAGGAAATTTGATGACAGCGGATCTCTAGCATAATTTATAAAGAGACTAATATAAGAAAACAAAAGAAGACAAGGCAGCAGGAGTAATGGTCTTTAACTAAAAACTCCAACCAAAATAAGTATTTAATTGCTGAATGGGAAATATGTGTCACGCTTTGTTCTATCACCGTATAGATCACTGGTTTCCAAACCTGGGCCTTTGGTTCTTGTTGGAACACAGTTCACAAACTCGCCCTCCCCACGTAGGCTCAGGCTTGGGAGGGTCGTTTGCCAGCAGCAACCCATACACTGCCTACAGCTTGTAAAAGCTTTTATTTTGGGATTACAATTCCCAGAGTCCCCTCAATCGGTGGCTAGGGTATTCTAGGAGCTGGAGCCCCCCCCCCAAAAAAAGTAATCTTCAGATTTCTGACACAGATACTAGCCAGCCCCTCTCTGTTGCCACCTGGTCTTCACCTCCCTGCCTTTTTTTACAGCCATAAACCAAAATGCAGAGGGAAATATCCACGTACTGAGTCCAGAAGCGTGAATTGCTTTCATATATTTTCTGATCCGCTGGAGAATGGCTTGATCCCCTTCCAAGCTCTGCAAGAGAAACAAAAACCCGCAAAGGCTCGTCAGATTTGCTGGCTTTTGCCAAGGGCCTGGAGGAGGGAGAGGAGGGAGAGAGGGATTGTTCTTGGAGTGTTCATGTCTCTTCGGCAAATGCTCAAGGCAACTGACTGAATACTCACCTGGAGTGGTGACAGCGCAGCTTAGCAAATAAAGGAAAGCAAAGTGTGCTGCTTATATACCGCCCCACGGAGCTTAAAGCACTGTCTGGGTAGTTTACCATTTAAATATGCAGGTGAGACAACTAGGTGACCTCCCTCCCCAGAAGTTCTAGATTACACTTCATAGATTATGTAACTTTCATCATCCTTGACCACTGGCCATGCTGGCTGAGACTGATAGGAACTATAGCCCAAAATATATAGAAGGGAACAGGCTGACTAGATACCCAGTGTGGCATAGGAGACAGAGTGATGGACGAGAACTTAGGAGACCTGAGTTCGAATTCTTACTCAGCCATGGAAGCACCCTGGGGGTGTGGAACTGGTAAGGCCATTTTTAAAATCTTTCAGTTACCTTGAAAGCCCCATTAGGGCTGCTATAAGCTGTATATTCAGCTCTACAGCTACCCTTATCAGAAAGGCAACAACTATACAGTGAAGTGCATTGTCACTAGAGATGTGCTCAGTAGAAAGCTGACATATTTTCCCCGACATCTAGGTTAGGCAGACCCATCTGACAATGAGCTGCAGTGGAAAAGCATGATGTTTGTGTGTGAAGTAGCTTTAAAACCTGGACACTCATTTCCACTCATTCTCAGAGTTTCAGCAGAAAGATGTCTGTGTATGTCTTGCGCTTGCAGAATTTCAGTGCGTCGAAAAGCCAGAAGAGAGGGGAGGGGACCAGGATGACAGCAGGTGCATGCATGCCCTGGGGTTTATCATGCCATTTGGAATAAGCTAGGGAGTGAAGCATCAGTGTCAGGACTTGTGAGCTGTTTTGTTTTTTTTTTAAATCTCCTTACGGCCTGGCAGTGAGCCTTCCAGAAGCTCCAGCAGCAGAACAATACTTGGAAAATCTCCCCATACCATGTGTGCTGTATGTTAAGGCAATGCATAACGCAAGACTGTCTACAGTTGCTGGGTACTTTTTGCCATCAAGCCAACCATGATGCCAACCTTCCAACCTTAGCAAATAAAGGATTTCAGTTACATTTCAGTTCAGTCATTTTCACTACCTGCATCTTGAGAAAGAAACTGTAGATACTGTATCAGGATCAAATGAGCAAGCCTGCTCAGGACTGAAGCCTATCAGAGAAGCTACAGGATATCGGGATCAAATGAGCAAGCCTGATCAGGACTGAAGCCTATCAGAGAAGCTACAGAAGGGATGTGGAGCGGCTGTCCCTGGAAGACTAGGTGCCAGCGAGATAAAAGTACAACTGCATTCCACAACACAAGATCCTACAAAGGAACCAGAGAGGTAAGAACGAGCCAACTCCGTTTCTTTTTTGGAAGAACCATTCCTTCCATCACTTTCCTAATGGTAGACATCTTGAGCAGGCTGCAGATTTGTAAACAGCTTTAGCTGTTTGGGAAAGTTGTTTTGTTGGTCCATAACGCCTAGAATACCCCAGCCAGCATGGTGTTAGTCATCTTTACTGGAGGATTTGGAGATCTAAAGTCCCCCCTGTTCCAACAGGGAATTTTATATAGCTGGAGCCAGCATGGCAAACCCCCTATCCATGGTGGCCCCCAGCCTCCCAGATCTTAATAACAAGCCAGCGAGTTCTTTAAGTAACTTTTCTCCCTTTCTAGAACCTTGGTTAGTTGAAAAGCTTTCTTCCTCTAAAGGAGAAGAATATGTGGCTGCCTGGATATTAGATTCCAGCTCCAATGAGACCAGCCAGCATGGCAGCACTCAGGTTCTATATATCCCCAAACTCGGAAAGCTAAAGAGTCCCCATACATGACCTTCACAAAAAAAACCTAGCAGCCTCTCGTCCAGCACAAGACAGGGATTATAGCCTGGTTTATTCACCAGGTCGATGCAACCAAACTAGTACATCATATTATTGTTCCAGTCCAACAATATCTCAAAAGCCATGAATTTCTCCTGTTCAATCTACTCAAATACTTTCATTTTTTGACAGTCTCTACAGTTTTAAAATCCAAGATATTAAAAAGAAACAGGTTGTGGGGGAAACCCTTACTCTTTAACAATTCATCAGCAGCATCGATGTTTCAGAAGGAGACCCACGACCATATTAAATGCATTTACAGATGATGATGATGATGATGATGATGATGATGATGATGATGATGATGCATTTGATAAATTCCTTAGCATTCATGCCTGGATCCCTAGTGTTTTAATAATACTGTAATTATATGCTGTCAAGTTATGATGGCCCTTTCTAGGGTTTTCTAGGTAGACAACAGTTCACCATTCCCTTCTTCTGGGTATATTCTGGGACTTTGCAGCTTGCCCAAAGTTACATAAAAGGTAAAGGGAAAGGTTCCCCTTGACAATTTTTGTCCAGTGGTGTTCGACTCTAGGGGGCGGTGCTCATCCCCGTTTCCAAGCCATAGAGCCAGCTTTTTTGTCCGAAGACAATCTTCCGTGGTCACATGGCCAGTGCGACTTAGACACGGAACGCTGTTACCTTCCCACCGAGGTGGTCCCTATTTATCTACTTGCATTTGCATGCTTTCGAATCGCTAGGTTGGCGGGAGCTGGGACAAGCGACGGGCGCTCATTCCGTCACGTGGATTCGATCTTACAACTGCTTGGTCTTCTGACCCTGCAGCACAGAGGCTTCAGCGGTTTAGCCCGCAGCGCCACCACATCCCCCAATCCAAGGTCACATAGGCTCGCTTTCCTCCTGAGAGGCACAAAAGAGAATCGAACTCCCAGCCTCTGGGTCAGTTACCTAACTCGCCGATTTATCCAGTCAGACGAGGCACAAAAGAGAATCAAACTCCCAGCCTCTGGTCAGATACCTAACTCGCCGATTTATCCAGTCAGACTACATTCCTCAGATGTGCAAATGTGAGTTATTTTCCTCAAGATCTCCCTCAAACTCTGCCCCAGACTTTTGACAGCAGATGTCAAGCAAGGCAGCTGAAAAGGCTCAAGTCGTCCCAGCTGCAGGACAATCAGCTCAGTGAGGGATACTGAGATCTGAAATAAAGGAGGAGATTAGATCCTCCCTCCCACATGCACACACACAAAGAGAGCACTCTGAGAGGGAAAAAGAGGACATCTATGACTGCACAGAGCCCTCAAGTGATTTTACAGGGTTTCCCTGTGAAAGAATCTAATTTACCCCCTCAAAGCTCCTAGATGCAGCCTTGAATTCAGACCACATTGGTCCCCATGAGCCAAAGAGGATTTCTGCCAAGTGTCGGAAGAATGCCATCTTTCTTTCGGAACTCTCCTTCAGCCTCATCTACTGGGCAGGAATTAAAATCAATTCTCTCCTTTCTTCTGCTCAGCGAAGTGGGAACTGGTTGGTACGACGGGAATAGGGCCAACTGGCAAGGAATGGGGGCCCAAATTGTGTAGCAGTGAAATCTAACATTGGAAGCCATGTGAAGTTTTTAAACGGTTTTTTAAAGAAGGAAGTCCTCATAGATAGAGACCGACACGCATCTTGGCAGAATGAAAAGCTCAGCCAGCGAAGAGACCACGAGTACATAATGAGAGCCAGAAGTGGTGGTAGAGGATGTTGTTCCTCCTCACAACAAAATCGTCCAAATCCTGACTCTCTTGCGCCACTGCCAACAATCGCAGCCGAACCTAGTGCATCTGAGATTGCTCAGACAGGTTTGGAAATGCAGCAATTAATTGCTGGCTAGTGTCCATGTTATACTAGTCATGTTCCCATGACGTACTAGTTGCTATGAAAAACCGTAACAGGAGGCATGCCAGATTGTGTAAAGTGGTTTTATTGTAAACTCAGCATATTCAACAGAGGATCAAAATAAACTTCTTTTATGTGCAGTAACTTTATTCCTACTTTTTACATTAGTTTTTGAAATGTAATGTGGCGACACCCAGGCCTTTTCCCAAAACAGCTCATTACAGGTAACTATATTTCTTGTACTTTGTGTCTTCTAAACATTCCTCCCGATGCACTTGACAACAGCTTTAGGCCTACTGCGAAACATTTGGATCAGGACTGGATTATGTATCATCCCATTTTTCATCTCTATACAGTGATGGGTTACGCAAACAGAACTACTGCCTAGGCTGCAAAATCAGTTGATTATCATATCCGTAAGCTTATTCTTCCAACATCTCACAGTGCTTCCATGGCACATGGAGGCAAGCAGGGACACTTAATGTTCATGCAGACTCTGTAGAGGCATGTACAGCAGAGTTACAACAAATACCCTGTCATTATCTTAGCCACATCAGCCTAACATGAAAGGCAAGGATGGTTTGCCTCTACAGATGTCTGGACTTCAAATCCGAGATGCCTCAGCCAGCATAGCCAAAAACCAGGACATGCGAGAGATGTGGGCTCAAATATTTGGAGGGACCTTCTAAACGCAAAGCAACTATCGCTTCCCTACAGTGAGATGAGGTAAGAGTTGTAGAACTTCAACCTTGGAGCTGACTCTGGTCCTCTAAGCCAGTGGTCCCCAACCTTGGGCCTCCAGATGTTCTTAGACTTCAATTCCCAGAAATCCTGGCCAGCACAGGTGGTGGTGAAGGCTTCAGGGGGTTGTAGTCCAAGAACATCTGGAGGCCCAAGGTGGGGGACCACTGCTCTAAGCAACCCCAGAGGGCCACATCCTTTTCCAAGATACAATGATTTAGGGATTTCGTATTGATTTTCCCCACTGTAAAAAGCCAAACAGAGATCTAACTACCATTTGTAAGAGCTTAAAACTAAAATACAGCAGCATTTTTGTCCTACCCATTGGACGTAGGGTGCCCTCTGCTTGCTGAGATGTACTACACAAAATGCCTGGAATTATTTCCAGATTTGTAAGTGCATCCATAAATATGCATTAACAAATGCTATGCAAAACTGTATCTTCTTCGTTGGTATTGCACCTGTGGGATAGCTTGCTCAGATTTGATTATTTCTGTTTTCTGCAAATGCTTATTATAATAGAAGAGAGAAACCTTCTTTTACAAGAAGAAATTTCTTAGCAGTAAAAAACATTACTAAGTATTGCAAACTGCTGATTACAAGGGGAGTTGAATGGTTAAGGAAGTTAACAGAATCCAAAAAATCTCTTACTGAATATGACACAATCTCTGGTTAAACGGATGGGATGTGGTGGCACTGCGGGTTAAACCGCAGAAGCCTCTGTGCTGCAAGGGCAGAAGACCAGCCGTCGTAAGATCAAATCCGTGCAATGGAGTGAGCTCCCATTGCTTGTCCCAGCTCCTGCCAACCTAGCAGTTCGAAAGCATGTAAAAATGCGAGTAGATAAATAGGTACCACCACAGTGGGAAGGTGTCTAGTCGCACTGGCCATGTGACGATGGAAACTGTCTATGGACAAACACTGGCTCTGCAGCTTGGAAACGGGGATGAGCACCACCCCCTAGAGTTGGACACGACTGGACTAAATATCAAGGGGAACCTTACCTTTATGGTTACACAGACAAAAACTCATTGTTTTGTAATGATTCACACAATATTGATGTCTGTGGAAAAATCAGATCAAGTTTGTACAAAGATGCCTCACGTTTCTACTATTTTGGTTTTTCTTATTTTACATTCCATTTCTCAGAGTGTAATTGACGAAACTCTGTCCATCCAGAGATGGACGGATCACTCCAAATCCTTCTACCTGCTGCAAAGTTCCATCCTGCTTCCTGATGGCACTGTTAGAATCGAGTCTTTATGAAGTAAAGGAACTATTTAGAGGAGCAAAATAGAAATTTTGCACTGGGAGCTGCTCTAACCACGTATGTCTGTTCCCTTGGAGCATCACCTGAAGGCTAGTAGCTGGGTTTCTGTTGTGAAAGAGATCTTGATTCTAAAACACTAAAAACCCACATGATATCCAACTTTTATATTGATTGCTTTTTCTCTGAAAGTAAAAGAGAAAGCAGAGATGGGGCCAAAAAATTGACCCAGGTCTTCCGTGCATTGCATGTGGCAGCTGACAAAACATTTCCTTGCTTACCTGAAAGCAAGAAAGCTATCAATCAATCAATCAATCAATCAATCAATCAATCAATCAATCAATCAATCAATCAATCAATCAATCAGTCAAGTGTATCCATTTTACAAAAGGGCGGATGGTTGAGTCAACCTTGAGCTGGCTGTCAGAATCTGTTCATATTATATGCTAATTGAGAGCAGATTTCTGGCGTGTATCCATTTTACAGAAGGGCGGATGGTTGAATCAACCTTGAGCTGGCTGTCAGAATCTGTTCATATTATATGCTAACTGACAGCAGATTTCTGGCTGCAATACTATAGTTTAACCACTGCGCCATGAGCCTCTTGTCAATATCAAAATACTGTTCAATATCAAAATACTGATATTTAGGTAATGTACAATGGGCAGGGTTGAAGAAATTATTGATTTCCACTTTATTAACAACAGTAAGACTGCTAATAGCAAAAAAAGAAGGTAAAGCAGGAAATCCCTGAATTGTACAATGAGATTTGAAATATAACTATTAATGATAAGTTAACATGTGACTGTTACATAAAAAGATTATTTACCTTTACAAGAAACACTGCAACTTTGGAGAGGATAAGGGGCTTTGGAACATTAACTGAACTGAAAGTAGTCATATTGGTCAGGGTGAAGGGGTGCACTATGTTCTAGTTAAGGAAGTCAGCCTTGTTGTGAATATTATATCAAACTGTTATTGTTTATTTGTTCATTGTTACTCTTTGTTTTATATATGTTATAAAGATATGTCCAGTAGTGGTTTGTTGTTGTTTTTTTGTTGTTGAAAGAAAGAAAGAAAGAAAGAAAGAAAGAAAGAAAGAAAGAAAGCCAGCCAGCCAGCCAGCCAGCCAGCCAGCCAGCCAGCCAGCAAGCAAGCAAGCAAGCAAGCAAGCAAGCAAGCAAGCAAGCAAGCAAGCAAGCAAGCAAGCAAGCAAGCAAGCAAGCAAGCAAGCAAGCAAGCAAGCAAGCAAGCAAGCAAGCAAGCAAGCAAGCAAGCAAGCAAGCAAGCAAGCAAGCAAGCAAGCAAGCAAGCAAGCAAGCAAGCAAGCAAGCAAGCAAGCAAGCAAGCAAGCAAGCAAGCAAGCAAGCAAGCAAGCAAGCAAGCAAGCAAGCAAGCAAGCAAGCAAGCAAGCAAGCAAGCAAGCAAGCAAGCAAGCAAGCAAGCAAGCAAGCAAGCAAGCAAGCAAGCAAGCAAGCAAGCAAGCAAGCAAGCAAGCAAGCAAGCCAGCCAGCCAGCCAGCAAGCAAGCAAGCAAGCAAGCAAGCAAGCAAGCAAGCAAGCAAGCAAGCAAGCAAGCAAGCAAGCAAGCAAGCAAGCAAGCAAGCAAGCAAGCAAGCAAGCAAGCAAGCAAGCAAGCAAGCAAGCAAGCAAGCAAGCAAGCAAGCAAGCAAGCAAGCAAGCAAGCAAGCAAGCAAGCAAGCATTTGTTTGTTTGTTTGTTTACTTATTTATTTATTTATTTATTTATTTATTTATTTATCATCTTTCTCTCAGTACAGTGCCCTAAGATGGTTGCCAAATTGCAATCATGTGCAACATGGTAAGCTGTAGTTTATTTTCATTTAAACTATGCTAATGCAACTATGGTGATAGTTGCCTATATTAGTTTAAATTACCATATGCAAATATAATGCAAAATGACTCTGTTTTATTATTCCTGATCCTCTTTGCCCTTTTTGGTCATGTCTGTCCTCTTTGCTGGCAGTAGTGATGGCCATGTCAATCCTAATTCAGGACTAGAGATGGGCATGGACTCATCTTTAATTAGGACCAACATAGTGGAATGCACACAGATTAAAAGCAAGTGTTCTAAGACTTAAGCAGTCACATCCCTAGCCTAGAAAGATGGATCTGGTAGCTTCCATTTCTCTTGCATTCATTCTTTTTCTGTTTCCCAGTTTTCTCTGTTTAGAATATGATGAATTTTGCAACTGGAGCAAATTCTACTACAAAAACAAACTGAAATAAAATCTTGCTTAACTATCATTCAGCACCTGAGTTTGGCATTAGAAGAAGACTGCAGCCTCATCAATATGATGGCCAACAGAACTTCTGATTATTACAGCAAACGAAGGCAGGCATTTCAAGAGCTAGAGCTTCTCACAGTCAATATCTTAATCAAGTTTGGGGTGAACAAGATTGCATGTAGTGACACAGCAGAACAAAGGCTTGCATGTTCAAAGTACCAGGAGTTTTTGATTAGCAGGGAATCAGACATCATCTACGTGTCTCCCAAAATTCTGTGTCCTCTCTGAGTTTAGCTGTGGTGTGGGTATTGATTTTCCCAACAACAATTCATTTTAGACTATCCCGATTCTAATACAAAGCATGTTAGGGTGATCAGATCTTGAACTAGAAATTAAGACCTATTAGCTTCACAAAAGCTATGGTCCTGGTGAGACTGAAACAGCTCAAACTTCTTTCTTGACATAGATCAACACATCTGCCTGCATTTTTGGACTCTTTTTGGGGGAGGTGGCTATCAGAACCATCATAACAAGCTCCTGCACTGCAAAATTTAGCAACACAACAGTGACTGAGATTTGTATTCTCAAAGGCTTTCACAGCTGGGATCTGATGGCTGTTGTGGGTTTTTCGGGCTCTTTGTCCATGTTCTGAAGGTTGTTCTTCCTGACGTTTCGCCAGTCTCTGTGGTTGGCATCTTCAGAGGACTGGAGTAGGAACTCTGTCCATGCTCTGTTGCTGTTTGTTGGATAGTGACAGAGATATTTTGGCTAATTAGGGGCACGCTGAAAGCTGTTCAGACTTGGGAAGAACCTATGCCACTGGGATACAAACATGACAGCAAGACAGCTCACAATTCCAAAGCCAAAAATCTTTCACAACAGTTTCTTATATGAAATGGATTTCCCAGATTGGGTACTGATACTAATGACGAGCATCACAGTAGACAATCCCCATCTAATTGTAGCATCAGGAAGACAACAGGAGAGGGAGCCCTTTTTTCTAGTCCCTGATTTGTTAACGGCGTGAAGTCAACCAAGAGAGAATGTCAACAGCAAGCTTAGAAGTAGGTCAACAAGGGAGGAGGACAGCAAGAAGCAAAGTCCTGTTTGGCCATTAAATGGCAGGGAGCTGTGATTTCTACAGGACTATGTCAATGACTCCACAGGACTATCGTGGGGTCTGATAAAAGCACAGCAAACGTTAGAAGTTTCAATACAGTTGGCATACCAAGCATGTGCCAATGTCCTACTGAGCACACACAGGTGCTTCCCTGACAGCATACAGAATTCCCGTGTGTATAAAATAGCTTGTTGCAAGACTTCTGCTACACAATTAAGCCTCTAACATGCTGCATTTTGCACACTCAAGACAATATTTTTAGCACTGATCCATTTTGATGCTTAGTAGTGCCAGGCTAACATTAGTAATTAATTTAAACTAATGGACATGTCCCAGTTAAAGGGGATACAAGTGTACTGTATTACCTGTAGAGGACAGAGGGAGACAGCTAATACCTTGAAATTAAAGGCTGAATATGAGTGATTTGATTTCAGGTAGATTACAGGAGGCTAGGACGATGCAATGAATAAAGAATGACTCAAAAGATGTGAGTTCAAATTCCTGACCAGCCATGGAAACTTAGTTTTACTCCCTAGTAAAAAGACTCCTTAAATGCCCAACATAGCTCTAAAACCCTACTAGGGTCACCATAACTCAGATGGGTGACCTGAGGGCACATAGCAACAACAACAACAACATGGGGAGGATAGAGGATGAGAAGAGCAAGACAGAAACAGATGGCAATTGCAGAAACAATCATATTAATTTCTCATATAATGCTCATTATTTTACATGGGGAGGATAGGGGACGAGAAGAGCAAGACAGAAACAATGGGACCATCACATTAATTTCTCATATAATGCTCATTATTTTACTATAGCTACATTTTCCACGCATGAAGTGAGGAGTGACAGATGTTCAAGCTGGATTCAGAAAAGGAAGTGACAGATGTTCAAACTGGATTCAGAAAAGGAAGAGGCACTAGAGAAGTATATATGCACATATATTTTGACTACCAGAATGTTCCATAGGTAATCATACTGATTACAGTAAAGCTTCTGACAATTCTAAAATAAATGGATATGGTACAACATTAGATTTTCCTGATGCATTTTCAGTACAACTTGTACCCTGGGCAAGACTCTACTGTTAGGACAGAATATAGTGAAACAGAGTGGTTTCCCACGGGCAAAGGTGTCAGACAAGGCTGTATTTTACCTCCCTATACGTATATGAAGATCATATAATATGGAAAGATATATTCAAATCAGATAAAGGATACAGTGGACCCTCTACTTACGGAATTAATCCGTATTGGAACGGTGGCTGCAAGTCAAAAAGTCTGTAGGTCAAATCTCCATTGACCTACAATGCATTGAAAACTGATTCTTCCCATAACTGGCAGTTTTTATTCTATTTTTGTTCCATTTTGGTTTTTTTCTGGTCTGTAGGTCCATTCTCCGGCTGCAAGTCGAATCTAAATTTTGCAGCCAGAGAAGTCTGTAACTCGAAAAGTCTGTAAGTCGAGCCGTCTGTAAGTCGAGGGTCCACTATAATAAAAATCCATGGATGAAGCATAATCAATTTAAAATATGCAGGGAATGCCAAATTATTAGTAGGAAACAGCTATTGCTTGAAACAAGTCCAAATACAGGTTAAAGACAAAAGTGCAAGAACAGGATTATGACTAAACATTTAGAAGTAGGGATGTGCACAGTGAAAACACTCATGTTTGATTCATTTTGGGTTCTTTCAGGAGGGGGGATGGTCTTTTCATTCACTGGTCCTTCTCTGGTCTTTCATTCATGGGTCCTTTATGTGTGATGTGAAATGGACCTGCTCTTTCAGGTCCTTAAATTTCATTGCCATCAGTTCATCCCCACTATAAAAACTCCAGCCTAGACCTCTCCTAAAATCTCGAAATGTGGCTGGGAGGAGGACAGAATGCCTCAAGGAACCCCCTTGATAAGTCCTTCAAAGATCCGGCACTTGCCTCCACCAGAGCTGCTCCAAAGCCTTCTGGACATTTTCCAAAAGCTGTCCCACATAGAGTGCATTAGAGTAATTCAGCTGGGATGCAACTAAGGTGTGTGTCACCATGGCCAGACCAGACGTTTTCCAGGAGTGGGTGCACCTGCGCAAAGGCAGTCTTGGCCACTACCAAAACCTCAGCATCCAGGCTCATTGATGAACCCAGGAGCACCCCCAAGCTACACACCTGTGTTTTCAAGGGGAGTGTAAACCCATCCAGCACATATTGTATCCCTGTTCTTTGATCTGCCTTTCAACGGACCAAGA